TGTTTTCGTCAAGGAGAAAGCAGTTTAAAAGTTGCGGTGTCAATGCATCATGTCTTTGTCAACAAAAAAAGTTGTTGAAAAGGTGTCAATGCATTATGTGTTTGTCAAGAAGAGAAATTTAAAAGTTGCGGTATCAATGCATCATGTCTGTCATCAACAGAGCATTTAAAAGTTGTGGTATTATTGCATCATGTCTGTCAACAAAAAAGTTGTTTAAAAGGTGTCAATGTATCATGTTTTTATCGGCAAGAAAGTAGTTTAAAAATGGCGGTGTTATTGCATCATGTCTTTATCAACAACTAAGTTTTCTAAAAGATGTCAATGCATCATGTTTTTATCGACAAGAATGTTGTGGTGTCACTTCATTATGTGTTTGTCAAAAAGAACTGAAGCAGTTTAAAAGTTGCGGTGTCGATGCATCATGTGTTTGCATCATGTTTTTGTCAAGGAGAAGCAATTTAAAAGTTGTGGTGTCAATGCATAATGTGTTTGTCATCAAGAAAGTAGTTTAAAAGTTGTGGTGTCCGTGGGACGTGTTTATCAACTTGAAAGCAGTTTAAAAGTTGCGGTGTCGATGCATCATGTCTTTGTCGACAAAAAAGTTGTTTAAAAGGTATCAATGCATCGTGTTTGTCAATTAGAAAGCAGTTTAAAAGTTGCGGTGTTATTGCATCATGTCTTTGTCAACAAAAAAGTTGTTTAAAAGGTGTCAATGCGTCATGTCTTTGTCAAAAAGAACAGAAGCAGTTTCAAAGTTGCGCTGACAATTTATCATTTCTTTGTCAACAAGGAAGCAGTTTAAGAGTTGCGGTGTTAAGCATCATGTTTTCATCAACAAGAAAGCAGTTTAAAAGTTGCAGTGTCAATGCATCATGTCTTTGTCAGCAAAAAAGTTGTTTAAACGGTATCAATGCATCGTGTTTGTCAGCTAGAAAGCAGTTTAAAAGTTGTGGTGTCAATGCATCATGTGTTTTTCAACAAGAACTGAAGCAGTTTAAAAGTGGCGGTGTCGATGTATTATGTCTTTGTCAACAAGGAAGCAGTTTAAGAGTTGCGGTGTCAGTGCATCATGTGTTTATCAGATAGGAAGCAGTTAAAAATTTTCGGTGTCCATTCATCATCTTCTTATCAACATGGACACAGTGTCATCGTTGCAGTGTCTATGAATGATCTGACCATCAAGAAGGAAGCAGTTTTTGAAGCTTCAACGAATTATTTTGCATCATATAGTCGTCATAATTAATTTTAAATACATAAGTTTGCTCAGAAAAATAAACAAGAAATAAAGAAATCTTAAACTTATAAATAAACAATAAAAAAAGGAACAATAAAAATAAATCATTGACATAAAACATTAACATAAAAACATAAAATACTCAACCTTGATCCTGAGGCATTTACTTCTGTGCCTGCCTTTTATTGACTTCTAATCAATTTATTTTGGGTTTCGAGTCCTAATGATGTTTCAATCATCAGATGTTTTAATGGGGTTATGAGAAAAAATGTAATTGGTTTCGTTGTCGGCTCACAAATCAATGCCACAACAATATTTCCGACCTCTGATTCCCGGACTTCAGATTTGTGACACTATTTCGGTGTTTGGAGTCTTATTCCCGACTTTTTACTTGTGTTTTCCGACTTTCGGCTTCGGACTTCTCATTTCCGACTTCAGACTTTGAATTTCGTATATTCTATTTTGGAGTTCAGAGTTTTTATTTCGGACTTCACTTTTAATTTCCCGACTTCCGTCTTCAGTCTTCGGATTTCGGACATTCTATTTCGGAGTTCGGACTTTTATTTTCAACTTTCGACTTTCCTTTTTTCGGAATTCTAATTTCTAACTTATATCGCGGATTTCGGACTCGGAATTTGAATTCCGACCATTGACGAATAATTTTCTACCTTCCGGCTTGGCACTTCTCATGAAATGACGACTTACGACTTCTTAGCCTCCTGCGTCTGATCTGTGACGGCGAACTTTTGAAATTCGACTGTCATTCATCAGTTGCTTCATGTACACTTTGAAGTTTAATTATTGGTCTTCCTTTTTTCCACTTTCGACTCCGAAGTGCCATTTGCAACGTCCATTATGTTGGAAGTTCCAACTTCCTTCTTGAGTCAGGTATATGAAATCAATTTTGATGGCATTTCGACCATAATTTTCAAGCTCACAAGTTTACAAAGATTAAACCTTTTAAACCTTAATAGCTACCGGCATCTAAATTCTCCTCCCAATACCACTAGGGATCAGGGAAACGATCTTAAAACGCAATGAAATGAAATGGTCTTGATTGTCAAACAAATTCTCCTAGTCAGCACCATAGGGGATAAACGGAGAACAGTATGTAGGACCTGCAGTCATTTCAGATTGTCAAGGGGAAAACAAATAAGGCAACAGTTCGCAAACAGCAGGGAAAAGAGGGGATTTTTTTATTATTACTTTTTGGATAATTAAAAAAGGATTTGATAACTCTGCGCCAGCGTAGCAAGGGGTATTTTTTTCCGCCGACGTATCTCCTACCAATCAGATCACAGCATTCCTTCAAAAATGACTGGAAACAGTTTCTAATCTTAATAACGAACCTATTTTACACTCTATGTTTTAAGCCTAAGCAATAGACTGAACAGTACGTAAATCGGGGAAAATTCTTACAGATTCGAACACACGAAAGATGTAAGTTACTCGTAAATCACTTGTAGAAACGCAATATTGAGAAGAAGTCGACGAATACGTTGGTGATCATTTTTATCCATGACATGAACACAAAAGATTACAAAAACCGTTCTTAAACGAGAAGGTTCAAATGAGGTACGAAACTATAGTTTATCAATGGTAGTTTATGTCGCTTGTGTATGTAGTAGCCAGTCAGAGATCTTGAGCAGTATTTTGTACCACGTGGCACGCATTGACCAATCAAATTACAAGATGAAGTCCTAAGAAAAAGGAGTCACGCTGAATTGGCAAAAAGGGTGCAATGTCACGCAATACTCAAGGAACGACGTCATGCTGTCACGCTGTTAGGAGGACATGAATGATGCGAAAAGTCAATTTTACAAAGTTCATCACAGATGCACTTGTATATATGAAACATCATAAAGGGTTTTTTATTTTTATCAAATGTAATTTTCCTTAAGTAAAAAATGGGACGTAATCAAAAAGAAAATTACATGCTCAACAAATAGTCTCTCGTTTGATAGAAGCTAAATAAACAGAAAAGTAACGTTGCTGTTCCCAGACAAATGTTCTTAATTTAAATGTTCCGTTTTCTACGGTTCTAGAGAGGTAGATGCACATGGGAAGTAGTTCCCACATGGTACTGATGAATTCTTCATCTTGGGCGAATGGAATGTTCTGATCCTAATTCCTGTTTCTTAATTGATTTCTCTTTTCGGCTATCCGCCTTTCGACCTGTCCGAAAATGTTTGTTGGTGGGTTTCTTAGGGGTCTGTCGGCTACTTTTTCTTGCAAGGCACGTTGTGGCTGTGATGAGGAACTGTTGAAGGCTGTAGAAGAAATCGAGTCGGTATCGACTAAGAGGAAAAAACCCAATAAAGACTTATCCGATGAGGAATTGTTGAAGTCTATTCCGCTATTCGAATTTGATTTTCGTGTGAGCGGACCTAGCTAAGTGTTTGTAAAATTATTACTGAAAATATTGATACCTTTTTCAATCCACGTTTTCTTCGGCGTTGCCGTCCTACTCCAAAGGACAAGGAAACGTAAACAAACGAGGCTGACGTCAACTAATTGTGAGTCAAATGAAAACTATTTCGTGACATTATAATGCAAATCTGTGATATGCTCACACTGATTGTGTGAATACACACTTATTAGCATATCTATCAGAGAGAGTTTATTTATCAAGTTTTGAATAACAAACTCGACGTTCGATTGCTTGCTTCGGTCTTGCCTTTCTTCTTCATCTCATGGTCAGGGTCTATAAAAGCCAACGTGGAATCTCTTAAGGGGTTAACTGTGTGCCAAAGTCGTCGCCTGAGTTAAATGTACTCAATTCTATACGGTGTGTAATTCAGTATATCCACGACACCGTGAGACAAATGTTACACGGTGTGGGCGTATGAATGAACACCATAAAACACTCTCGATAATTTCGTCTGTTTGATGTAAATTGCAGTCAGATGAAATGAAGGTGAGTTAAATTTCACCCTGGTCTACACACCTCTGATAAATTAAGGCCGGTTGAAAGTTGTAAATTAGTTAAATCTAGATTTTACATCCGAACAAATTAGAATCTATTGATGTTGAGCACCAAATATTCCTTCCTTCGTTTATTCTTCCGAGGGAAAGTTGACTTTCCTCGTATCTGATATCACTAATAACTTTGATATCAAGTATGTATGTTCTCAAGGTTTTTCTAAATGTTATAATTATAGCTAAAAAGAGGTACGATGGCTGGTAGTCAGCTCATTAACGATTAACTCCGTTCTTTGGAGAGAGTCGGGAGACTGGGGTTATTGTAATTAGGAAGATTTCGAAAACATTTTACACGGCTTCCAGTCAACGATGTAGTCAACAAGTGCTCTCCTGGCAACGCCTATCGTGTTCAGCATATATTTACTCGCCAGTAATCGGGGGAATTAGGAAAGAAAAAAATTAACCACGATTACAACCGATAAGATCAAAGCCTATTTCGTAGCCACCCTCTGTATTTTCATCCTAAAGGATCTCGAAAATGGAGGGATCACATAGTCTCAGTTGAAATTCGCTTCATTATTCCTGCCATATTTTTTTAAACTGATTTAAATTTTTCGTGTAAAAGCTCCATTGAACTACCTCCCAATTGAATTGTAAAAAAAAGAAAAAGAAGTTATTTTTACATTTAACCTTTTCTCAGCATCTTCTTTACAATTTTCTTTCGAAGGCCATCGATATAAACCAGCAACGAAAATCTGCTCGAGTGTTCTTCAGCTCACCGTTTGGAGGACTGGAAGAGGAAAGGGAGGAATTAACGAAGAAATACTGGCCTCAGTTGTCGTCCATGTGCAAGAGGGCCGGATATGAGTTTGTGCCGGTTGATATGAGATGGGGAATAACATCTGAGATGTCATCTAACGCGGCTACCATTGAGATCTGTCTTCGTGAAATGGATCGGTCTGATATGATCGTGGGTTTCTTTGGTCAAGTAAGAAGAAATGCTTAAGTTAAATGTACAAGCCACAACATAAAAAATTACAAATAAGCTACATGCAGCTCCGCCTCTTGACCAAAGTTGCGTGTATTACTAGGTGGTTACCAAGGGGATGGGAGGGGAGTCAATGAATTGAATTGTAGCCTTGAGCCCTGAATATAAGAATATGGTAATATTGGAATGGCCTAGAACAACAGTTATTTCTTAAACCTGTTTACTAGATGCGAACGTATGCCATTTAGCTCGTGGGGCAGATTCCATCCATAGCACTGCCAAACAATAAAAGGTAGAAAACGTTTCAGCCTGCGGAACCTTTGGCAGTTTTGAAGCCGTTTTCAACTGAGTTTTAGCAAGGAGGCAAGGGTTAGAGCGCGTTAAATGGATGTTCAGGCCTTACAACTAAATAATACTTCCGTCGGTAATCAGGCCAAAAAAAGGCACATAATCTTATCTTGTTGAAGTTGCATAATTTTTGATGACACTTTTAACTGTTTTTCAGCGTTATGGTTGGCATGGATTTGATAATCTGTTGCAGAAAAGTTTTGATGTTGCAGCTGTTAAGTATCCCTGGTTGAACGACTACCGCGAGCGAGCCGTGACCGAGTTAGAATTTTTACATGGTCACCTAAGAAACCCTGGGAAGAGAGCTGCTTGCTTCTTCTTCAGAGACAAGGTTGGTATGCGTTTTCTAATAATCAAAAAAGCCATGATGAATATTAAATTTAAAAACCTTCAGGTGAGCATACTTGTTTGGACGTGGCACTTGAACTATGAACCTTTCTTGATTAATGAGGACATTTATTCTTGAGTTATCAGAAATGCAGTCAATCGTATGAATTGTTGCTTTTTGTTGCAAATAAGAGAATTCGTTGTTACACAAATAAACTTCAGATCCATCATAGCTAATATTAGGTTTGCTCTCTATCTATCACGTCAGGTGCAGCGTTAAATTCATTTTCATGGGTATAGATCTCAACGATGAAGCATTAAACCTTTTTCGAACAGTTCAAATCAGTAGAGTGAAAATATTTTGGTGTGCATCTGTGCAGTAGCTTCTCCATCCCTCCACTCATTCAATTAATGCAAAGTATGTTTATGTAAGGCAATATGACTGACAACGTTACAAAAATTACAGTCCTACGACGACTTGAAGCTACAGCTAGCTGAAGAAGCTGGTGATAAAAGACAGGCGAGGAAGTTTCTTTCATCGACAGATGGGCCTAAGGCTGCGGAGTTTTTAGCGGATTTGAAGAGGAGAGTTCTCGAAACTAAAGACAAAGTAAATATTTTCCTCTGATAAAATTGTGTTTCTATAAGTGTTGTCGGATAGAGTTTTGACTTGAAAAGTGATTACCGTGATTTGGAACTTCATACTCATGGTAAACACTTTCCAACCCAAATTAAAATGACTTTCAATCGATCTCTCGTGACTGTTTCAGGTTTTATCTTTTCAAGATTTAGATTTTGGATTTAACAGGATAATCAAAAACTGTTAGTTTGATCTAACGTTGTCTACATAAGAGAAATAGGCGGGAAGATTCCTAATCTAGAAGTCTGAAGAAAGCGATCCTTTGCCTTTGTGGGTCATTATTTCACTTTCTTTCGATGAAAGCTTGATGAAAGACGATGGACGAACATTCAGAGGAACTTAACGAAATGAGGGGGTCAGGCTGATCAACTGGGATAGACTAACGAATCTTGTTTGAGAAGTTATATCCTCTTGTTTTCTTCAACTTTATCTTTAATTTCTTTTCCTAGTGCTTGGCTGTCCATATGAACTACAAGAATCCACAAGAAGGAGCCAGGCTAATGTACGAGACAATAGAGAAGTTTCTGAAAGAAGAGATCCTAGTTCGCTCTGTTCAGAAGCTTTCCCCTTTAGAAGAGGAGCGCCTTCAACATGACCTGTTTAGGGTTAGCAGACTTGCTATGGGCGGTGTGTTTGTGGGCGGGGAAGACTATTTACAAAAGATTGATGATCACGTCAATTTGCGAAGCAAAGAGGGGAGTCCTAAATATCTTGTTGTGACGGGAGATGGAGGTAAGACCACAGTAACTATAGGACCTTTTCCAAAGACGTACCCGCGAGATTAGCCGAACCCACCCAATCCTATTTGAGAGACTATCTTTATCATATTTACGAAGTTTATATAAAAATACTCGCCACTTAGAATCTTAAATATTTAGCTATCAATTATTGGCGTTATGTATGACCAATATCTCGCGTCGTTATGAAGTTTTCAGAATATTTGCGCTTTGTAGTTGTAAGATTTGTGAAACAACGCCGATTTTTTTGGTTAGATAATTCCTAAGAGATGAAGCAATAGTGTCGATGAAGACAATTTTTGAATGACATGGAGTGCGTTGATGTTATTTTCTTTGGAGAACTAGAGTTCAAAACTAGAGGGCAAACTATGGCATTTGGCACTTAATAAACTTTTGGTTGATGTGGTCACTTACTTCTCTGCGACACATGTTTCGTCCTTTTTCTCCTACGATAGTGACCCAATACGTAAGTTGACGCAGATATTTTGAAAGTCGAATTTTTAAGGTTTTGAATATCTAGAGTCTCATGTTGAACACATTTCCAATTTATAGGTTCTGGAAAATCATGTTTGTTGGGAAGCTGGTCCTTGCACCACCAAGAAAAATTTCCCAACGACGCTGTTGTTTATCACTTTGTGGGTAGTTCTAGTGGAAGCACTGGTGAGGAATCTTCATGTACGGACACACAAACAAAACAAACACACAATGAAAGAAAGAGAAGCAAATAAAGAGAAAGCTGAGGGTGCAAGAAAAATAAAACAAAATCTGATATCTTTTCGTTGATACAGTCTCACAAGCGTAAAATTTTAGTTCGACTTATTATTGTGATTGCCATTTCGAAAAAATATTTCAGAATCCTCGTACTTTGTACAGGTTATAACATGATTTCGAGTCCAATTTGGTGTTAATAAGCAGGAGTAAATTTCAAAGACAACAAAATAGTACAAGCCCGTAAGGTGAGTGCAATTCGTAGTGTTTGAAAAATTTGTAAGTGCTAATTTACACCAAATTGCACGAGAACCTATGTTGTTACTTATTAATAACTTACATGAAAAAGCATAACAGAAAGTAAGCCGGACGAAATCTTGACAGCACGCGCACGCTATTTGTAATTTGCACTCATGTTACAACTTTGGACTCGTGTTACATAAAGAGATGTACTCGTTTTCAGCCAATCGGACGCCCGTAATTTTTTCATGTATTTTATTAGCTTTGTAATCCTTTAATTACGATTGCACTCTTTGAAGAGCCAAGGAAGATACTGAAGCGCCTCCTGGATGAGCTTATCAGCTGGTTCAAGCTAAAGATGTCTAACCAGAAGGAAACAGGTAAAGAGAACTTCACAGGAACTGGTGGTGGAGATATTCGCATTCTTATCGAAGACCTGTCGGAAACCGTCACGAATATTACTAAAGCAGGCTTCCGCACTATCATCTTAATTGATGCTCTTAACAAAGTCGATGACATTGGAAAAACCAACAAGGTAATTAATTTGACAAGCTCTCTAACCGAAAATTGATCCTACAAAACTAATACTAGAAACAGCGAGTCGATGATCCAGCAAACAACAAGTGACCATTTACATGCAATGAACAAACCAACAAGTGACTTTGACTAGACGAAAATTACGGCGAAGATCGATATTTTGGTTTTATCAACTGAATTGATGATGTAAATTGACAGATAGATAATCAGATTGAGAGACGAAAAAAGGTATTGAAAGTAATACATAGGAATTCTTGATTTAATCAATAATCTTGGTTTACATACTATCCTTTAGATATTACATTGGCTTCCAAGAGCACTGCCATCCAATGCATACCTCATAGCATCGGTAATTTCTGCCGAAGTCCAAATGGTCACTGAACTCACTGAAGAAAGAGGTTATGCTACCATCAATATGGCGTCATTAACTGAAAAGGAAAGGGAACAAATTGCAGTAGTAAGTCTAACAAAGTGAGACCTTGTGCATCTCTCACTCCATAGTCGCAAGGACAAAATTATAGGTTACCTCCAACGTGACAGACTCATCCTCTAAGTCTTCCTCTATAAAAAGCCAGACCTTAGGCAAAGCTCAAAAGCGGAAATTTTGACTTCAGATGTCCTTTAATCTCATCCATTTCATTTTATTTTCAAGGCAACCCTAAAAGTCCGAGGAAAAGCTTTATCGTCCGAGCAAAAGAAGAAAGTTGTACATAAGACGCAAACAGAAAACCCTCTGTACCTGAAAATTTTACTGGAGGTATGTGAGGTTTTGCTCCAGTGGCTCCTGTGATAGTTTACCACAACCACCTTTGATACCTTAGTGTGATAATTATATCTAAGTGGGGCCTAGATAATAACATGTTCGCACAGAGGAATCGGAAATTCCCTTATTTTGTTACTACGACTCGCATATGGTAGGAGAAGTTTCATCAAATTCATGAAACAAGGCGCGTAATAGAGAGGGAGAGAGAGGTAATGAAGAAATAGACAAATACGATTGGATGCATATATTTTAAGAGAGCCATTACCATTTGACATAGCTTGAGGTTCATTTTTTCTTTAGGAATTGTGCAGCTTTGGAGAGTTCTTTCAACTAGACGCACATCTTGATTCCTTACTGGAAACGAAAGAGTGAGAAAAAGTTTACTTTCAATGTATTTTATTACTTTTACTTTACTACTAGTTTTAGGTTCTGAATTTGAATTAAGTGTGGTATATTTCTTTTATCTTTCAGTACAAAAGAACTCTTTTATAAATGTTTACAGCGGCTAGAAGTGGACTATAACCCTAAAGAATATGATGGGAATCTGGTCAAAGACGTGTGTAACAAACCGATTTTTTCTTTGTTCTTGAGATGAATTGGAGGAGTGAACATGGAAAAGTAGATTATTAAACAGCGCTTTTTCAATTTCTCAGGTGATGTGCTGTATATTGGTGGCTCGACAAGGACTTTCTGAGACAGAGATCAAGTCTATCCTCAAGATAACGGACCAAATGTGGTCTACCCTTTACTTCGCCATAGAAGAATTCATTTTGGAGCGATCAGGGATTTACAGGTAACTTAAGTGTGCGGTTACTGAATCATATTTGGACTCTTATTTTTAACTTAGAATGAAGATGTAAAGATATATATAAAGAAAGTCGCTTTTCCAGGAACAGTCTGGGTTACCTGCACCATTAATTTGCTTTCAGCGGTTTCCCCCAAATACAGTATATTTGCTTGTATCACCCTGTAAGTTTGTGATCAGGATCCCCCAGTATTTGGCACTCGTTTGCACGTAAATGCATCTTAAAACACCAAATTATTACCGGTGGACCGTTGCTCGCCTTTAGTGTTAGTTTGTTGTCGTATCAAATACCATGCGAGGGTACTTAAGACATTTACTTTGAAAATTGATTATCAGCATGCTCATTTATGTCACCTTGATTTCCATAGAGGGGACGAAGCATCAAGCCTTTCATTGATTTCACGTTAGCTGAATCGACTGAGATATCGGCTAGTCTCATAACCAGACCTTCCACGGCCAAGTGGTTGTTATGATAGGATCTGGCTCAAATAAAGTCTGTTACTTCACGCGCACTACCCCCTTCCACAAATTCCCACAGTAAATTTCACTAAAAAAATTTTAAGCGACCTCTTTTTTTTGTTTTTATACCACGATTGCATCTTCTTGTTTAAAGGTTTACCTATGACGAATTGTCACAAGCGGTTAAAGAGAAATATTGCATGGACAAGTCAACTACCATTCATTACATCATATTATTGGTGGATTATTTTGGAGCAAGACTAAGGGTGAGAGAGCAAAGCTTTTTGACAACGTTTTTAAACGATGTCTCCTGAATCGTCTTGTTATTTCACTGTACTTTTCATCATTATTATTCTTTTGACGATAGGAGAAAGATTTGGTTTACGATACTACAATACCAGACCGCATTTACACGGAGCTCCCATGGCTTTTAGTAAAGTGTGGAGAGAAAGATCGTCTTATCAAGTGTCTCACAACTGCTTCGATATTCTGGTCACTCTTCAGGTTTGTATTTCCTTTTTCAAGCTATTGCTCAGTTCAGAACCCATGATTTGCCACCATATGAATGTTTTTCGCATTTTCCCACGAAATCCTAAAATTAAATGCAATCCATGATAAAACACATTTCAAACTTATCCATGCTTGATTCTTTTCCACGATTTATATGAAGCATTTCTGATTCATTTTTAGCGATGAAAATAATTACGACCTGGTTAGCTACTGGAACGCAACCGGTTTAACAGGAGAAGAAATAACGGCTTTGTATCAAAAGACGCTTAATGATCAGCTTGCACTTTTGTATCTCAAAGAACAAGAGAAAGGAGGAGAAATGATCGATGCTGTTAAAAAGGTACTAAAAGGATATCATGCACGATGTTAATGTGTTACATACAAAGAAAGTTATTTTAATTTCACAATTTGGATAATGAAGAGGTAAATTCAACTTTTACCAAAGAAGAAAGAAGAGGAATCAAATAGGATCTTTGAAAAAAAAAGGGTTTAAACGCTACATTTGGATTACTGTTGGGTTTAGACATAAATCGTTGATGAGCCTTGGTCTTTACATCCATATCCATCCCAACTTGGACGAACGTAGCAAAAGAAAAGCTTTCCAATTATGAAATTTTTTTTTTTCACTATTCTTGATGATTTTTTTTCAACATCATCCAACCAAGAGAATTTATATTTATCTACTCAACCAGACGGAAGAATTATCGTCTGTTTGAACTCTGTTTGATCTATGTCACCTTTAATTTCAGCTTGCCAAGTTAGCGTTCCAAATGTCTGTGTACCAAGGTGATGCAGGGAATATGACAGCTGTTGAACCACTTCTCCAGAGAGCATTGTACCTGCAGGCAAGCAGTAACTTAAATACATGATCGGTTTCTCTTTTTCCTGGCTAGTTTGCTGAAGAGCTGGTTATATCACCCCTAGTCCCTGTGATTTTGCTCTTTCCTAAGAATTTGGCTTTTATATGTCCTTGAGGATCCCGAGTTTGATGTACTATCAGGTTTTTTCTGCAATTTAGAAGTTTTATTTCATGTGTTTGGTTAGAAGTCCCACGCGAGGCCGTCCACTCGGATCGATCATGGGCAAGCAAAAGGAGGGGGCTAGGTGTAGGGGGTGCACCGCCCACTGCAGTTCATGTTAGTTTTTCGACTGAAAGTTTTATTCATCATCGAGTTGAGGATCATAACGAAGTATATTTAATCATTCCCCTCGTTTTATTGCAGAAGTCAGCTTATTCAGAAGAAGAGATCCGTCGAGATGCAAAAGTAGCAATGGATTAGCTTGCCTGCTTGTGGATACCGAGCATTTTGATGAAGCCGAACCTTTGCACAGGGAAGTCCTCGAGCTCAGCAAAAAGTATGCAAAGATAGGCCGTAAATTTATTCACCATGTTGAAACTTGTGACACATAACTTATCCTATAAATCGCTTGTGACGCATTACGCTAAACTATCGCTTTGGTCCCCTAAGAATTCCTAGTCGCTTGGTTAATAGTACTTCACTGGGAAACAGTAAATAGGTCGAGTCCCCGGGGAAACTCAGATTTCTCTTTGTCCCGCGAAGTTGTCGCAGATCTTTCTATTTTGTGACTTGTTCAAATTGTAGTAATTCCTTTGTTTGGTGACTGGATCAGGTTTGCCGATGAATGGCCAAATGGGTGGTCAAGAGTAGCAACTTCATTAAACGGTCTAGGAGTGCTATATTACAAGACGAACAAATTCCAAGAGGTATGTACGACTTATCTTTATTTAGCCTGTAGTCTAAATTGCTAATAATTGGAATCCGGAGGGTAATTTTTACCTATTTTTGTGTTCTAGGCTTTGGAATATTACAATAAATGTCTTGAGCTTCACCGACAAACCTTGGAACCGACCCATCATCTGATCCCCGACACAATGAACAACATTGGTGCTTTGTATAAGTCTATGGAACGTTGGGAGGACTGTGCCAAAATTCTCGAGGAAGCCCTAGAAGTAAGGATAATTGAACCTATTAACGATCTAAGGAGTGTGTTTGTATCCCAGTTTCGTTTTGTGATACACTATTTCAATAGAAAACAAACAAACAAGAAATAAATTAAAAGAAAAAATAAACCTCAAAAAGATTTCCCCTTCACTGTAAATAGAGTTTATGACGCTTTCCTTGCTTTAGAAAATATTTCTTTGCGAAAGTCCAATGCTTCAATGGCTTGGATCTCAAGTTCGATGTAAATTGACTAGCGTAAGGAACTTTTGATGTTTTACAATGGGATAGTTCTTATCCAAGAAATCCTGCATTCTTTAAGGAGTATTTCCTTTTACTTTGTTTGTTTTGCCTCTCATATAATAATTAAAAGATGTACGAAGAAGCATATTTTGGCCAGCTTCCGCCTGATGTGGGTGGTACCTTGTTGAATCTTGGTATGGCTTACTTGAGGATTTACGACAGGAGCAAAGCTGAGCCATTGTATCTAAGGTAAACTTGCAATTGCCTTACTTTGTTTTTGCTCGTTCGTCGTTATGGTGTCATTGCTATACAGAGATCATGAATTAACTGGAGTATTTAACTTTGACAAAGTTGGTGGCATTGGTCACGCGACAGCTTTTAATCTGGGGGTACTCCTGGCAAATCTTAGTCGAAGTGTGCCGCCCAATTCTCAAAATCCACACCCGTTTTCAAATTGGCTTCTGAACCCCTTACCTTTACTTTGTAAATTCAGCTCTAATGATATATATTTTAATTGATTGTCCTTCCCTGTTATTGCTTCGGTGTTGAGAAGAATATATTACACATATTTCAGAGCTTTGGACATCCGCACTAAAGCTTATGGACCGAACCATCATGACGTAGGTCAGACGTTACTTAGTTATTCTTCCTTTCTACTCAATTTGGATGCTATCAAGTCAGCTGAAACCGCCATACGAGCGGCGGAAATCTTAGAGGTAAACTGACGGACGCTAGTATCATTATTAGGCATGCAACGGGAGAAGCAAAGTTTTCGATGTTAATTTGATGTCTCGATGATGCTTTCATTCGGTCATTATAAGGACATAGTGTTTGGTAGCAACCCCGTCCAGCGAATGGTGGATTGAAGAGTTTCAAATGTTGATCTCATTTTAGTTTACTACAAATAATTCCATACGGCGAATTTTGGTTTACTTCAGAGGGAGAGGCGATTTCCTCTTTCTAGTAAATTTAGCTTAGCTAATATTCAATGACTCAAAAATACGAGAAAGCACAAAGATCTTCGCATTCCAACCTCTCTTCCCCCCCCACCTCCCCTTTCTTTCAGCCACCGAAGGCACAAGTCTTGACATTTCTCCTAGATATTTTTGGTTAACCTTTAATTCGAAAAAGGCAGCCATAGTGACGCCTTGGTTACTAGGTGATGAAGGCTTAATCTTTTAAGATTTAAAAATCCTAATCTTGACTATTAACGGAACTGAAGACCTTTTAGACTGTTTAAACGGGCTTATTATGAAAATACCTTCATGAAATGAGGTCTCACATATAATCATATCCGTTGCTGTTTTCTTTTCTAGAAATCTTTAGGTCCAGAACATATTTTTACATTGAACGCTCAGGAGAATGTAGCGCTCGGCTATGCAGTGGCTGGAAAATTTGATGACGCTCATCCGTATTTCAAGAAAGCAGGTTCATGATTCAGTATGATTTATCTCCAACGCTATGGCTTGTGGCTTTTGTTGCCGAACTTTTTGGCTTAAAGCCTGCTAGTTTAAGTTTAAAGGATTCAGTGATGAGAAAGATTTAACGCCTTCAGAATGACGGTAAATGGGATTTACGAACTAGTGACATACAATATTAACGGATTAAGGATGAAAAAAGAATCATCAATTACACAACTTGATACGTTTTAAAGTTCGATAATCGGCCTTCGCAACCACATCGGATGTTGAAACCAGACCAGCGACCAGCAATAGCGCATAACATGAATTTCTCTCGAGACAGATATAATAGTACAGCTAAGCTCATTAATTTTCGCTCTATACATTCTTGATATTTTTTTCAACGCTAGATTGTCAGTGTTTTACCTAAAATGAAAAGAACTCTCTTTTTCTTTTGAGGAGTGACCAAATACCGAAAGGGTCAAATGAATACGTCAATTCCTCCGCTGAACGCAGGCATGGCAGATTATTACCTCAACAACGGCCATCATGAGGAGGCAAGACAGTTATTCGAAAGACTGGTAAATTATATAATCATAATTATTTTAAAACTATAATTGACTTCAAACAAATTAGCTCCTATTTCTCCTTCTTAAATTTATTCAATTGCGGCATTCCTGACGAACTTTCTAGAAGATCGGGCTTTAAATGTTCTAGAATGTCAGGAACTTAAAATTAAAAAAAAAAAAAAAGCTTAAAATGATTCTTGATTCTACTGACTAATTCCTCTTACTTTTTTAATTTTTAATTTTTTGTTTGTTTGCTGTTTTCAGGTAGGCACAGATTTTGCCTCAGACAGAGATTTCGCTGCTCTAGACTTTTTAGATGAAGATCTACTTGGAGATAAAAGGCTTACGAGACCATATGAGGAAACGGTGGAATATGGCATTGAAAAGTAAAAATTATTCCTTTGGTCGATACGGCCGGGGGTGGTCATTTTTTTTTTTTGCCTCGAGGTTAGAAAAGCCCTATGATAATTTAATACTTTAGGAGATTTGCCGCCTGAGTCTCCAAATCCACACTCGTTTTAAGACTTGGCCCCTAAATTCCACTTATTGACGTTGAAAATTCAGCTCTAATGAGATATTATAATTATTTTTTCTAAAGAAAGACACCGAAATTTTACTGAGAGTACTCTTGGTTGCAGGTTCCCCAAAAGCGCAATGATTTTTGGGCGATTGCTTCCAAAATTAGCTAAAAGTGGAGACTCGCAGAGAACGTTAATGATTTTAGGAAAAGGTGATTTTGGTCCCGAGAAGTACAATGAGTCATATCTGAGTTTTATTGAAAATCAGCACAGGAAACAAGGCCTTGATGTAATCCAGTCTGCGCACGAGAAATTTCCAAGTGATACGGTACGTTACTCAGGTCTGATGCCTAGTGGTTCTAACAATCATTTTGGAATAGCGAGAGTCTCTATAATAAATGTCATCAGTCCTAAGGCCAATTCCAAGGAATTGCTCCTAAGGCAGACTCTAGTTAAGAGTAACATTTCTATGGATGATGCTCTTATCATCTCCATATCATTTGAGTTCTTTTTTTGTTATAGTATATTCCTGTTTTCAACAGTTACCTTAATTCTGTCATTCTATTCACTCAAAGATAATTCTTGAGAACTTAGCCAAGTGCCACGCCTTTTATGAGGACTTCGTTACAGCCTCAACATACTTCAAAAAGCTACTCAACTTGAAAACCGATGATGCCAGTGTCATGGCTACTTATGGGAGAGTTTTAGCTATGACAGGAAAGACAGAAGAAGCCAAAAAAATGTTCGAAAAAGGATTAAACTGCGCCGAGGCTCAAAATGAAAAACAACTTATTGAGCAGGTTTGTATTCAGAAGTATTGTTTTATCTATCGGAGAAAGCTGCCTTATGAGAACTAAACTATAATGGAAATCCCATTGATGTGGTCCACCTTAAATTCGATAAAGTTGGTTTGACAAAATATAGAAAAAATTGCAGGAAAACTTTGAAGTCGTTGATTATTTTTACTTACTTTTTAAGGAGACTTAACAGTTTTTAAACGTCATTTTTCTCTTTGTTAAGGCAATATCATCATAGTAAAGAATAAAGTATGTTGATCAATATGTCTATGTTTAGAACATAATGCAGAGTCAAAGTGTTTGAAATTTGATGATAAACAACTCGTATAATGTGAACTTTCCTTGTGGAAATTTACCACTTGCTTACTAATGTTTTTTCGCTTGCAGTTCAAAGTGAATTTAAACCTCCTAAACGAGATGTAAGTACGAAAGCAACAGAATAACCTTCGGTCCAGAAGTATATGGACACGTAACAATCCAAGCGGACGCGGAATACATGTCGCTGAAGTGAAACAATGCGGGCACACTGAGACCACAACACTGGCGAACGTCATCCAAAACGCCCAAGGCCCGACATCCTTTTTTAAACCCATAAGGTTATCAGCCTAAGTGCCATTACACCGAGCTGTGAAGGCGAATGACAAAAACAAAACTAAATTACAGACAAGCATAGTAACTTTAGTATGATTAGAAAGAAATAGCTAAAATAAACCCAAGTACTGATAACGCAAAAACCGCTACAAAGAGAGAACGAAGAAAGACCAGATGAATATGTAAAAGAAGTAAACCAGGAAAGAAAATTCAATTCCCTGATTCATCAGTAAATTAGGTCCTGAACCAGCAAGGAAGGTATGGTTTTGTGAATTGGAGCCCAGAAAATCGCAGAGTAGAAACAATACCGTAAAGTGTAAATAGATCACATTTTGGGTTTCACGTTGGATGAAAATTGTAAAGTGTCTCTTCTAACTATTCGCATTGTTAGTGTGAGGGATAGAAGAACCTAAGTTTCAACTGACACTATTTCACTCTCAACCCTTTTTGTCAGAAAAAGAGGTGGTTTAGAGTGGAGACACAACCTGATGTAAATTTAAATTCCCTGTGCACGGCGGTGTGGAGGGCAATTACTCCTATGTTCTTGTAAAGAATAATGTTAAAATCTAAAAATGTTAGATTTTTCTAAATAATGAGAGAAAATCCCCAGAATAATTCTTTTGACGTACGTTACTTGTCAAAGTGTTCCTCCTTTGCAAGATAAGCTTGGAGAGAATGTCAAACCATCTTTAAAAATGTCCTGCGATGTATCATACTTTATCGATGGCTTTCCTAATGGCTGACATTAGTATGCGAAATTTTAAATACTTCAGTTATTTAGATTTGTAAAGAGTTCAGTCAACTTTAAAAACCTTTTTACGTCAACATATCGCTGACAATATTAACTGAAATCTCTTTTACCCGTGTTAAGTTCTAAAGACCTCCAGGGCTTGTTCCTCAGTGAGGACAGAAACGGCTGCTCGAAAAGCGGATCATGAGGAATTGTTGCAGTATAACTCTCATTTTGATAATCTATCTAGAAAATATTCCATCCTTGATAACCGTCTCCTTATAATAACATCCGTTGTTCATAACTTCACAGTGCATAACCAGTCGCTGAAATAGTCACTAAGTCAGGAAATACGATGAGAGCGGAGGTATACAGGATGAATAGTAATTGTTTTACGGTGTGCGACATATGAGCCAGAAGCAATGCATGTCTTTCGTAGTCTCCCAAAATATCTTTTTGTTTTTTGTAAATTGGGCCAGCTGTTTGTCTGGCATGGTTATCATTTCAAATGGGGACGGAAGACGAAAAGTAGTGGTGCTTGAGAATAGTTTAATCCAGATTACCCAGTTTCTACCAACTCTCAGGGAGATCCTTGACAAATTACTCCACCCTCGTGGCCCCTGTAGACGATATTTGAAGATAAATTCAAAAAGAACTAACCAGAAAAAGGAAAACGAAAAAGGTAGCGCTCTTGTCAATTGTAGCCCACCGCAAAAGGTTCGTAATGACACAAATGCGTGAATACACGTATGATCTCAAAGACGAGAAAACATGGATAAATAGAGATGCAAGATATAACTCGAAAGTGATCTTCGGCTGTTTCCAGGCTTGGCACGAGTGGAAATGAAAGTTCTGAATGAGAACCATCTTCTCTGTTGCTCATTGCGTAGCTCTTTATATCCAAACAGACACTGATTGGTAAATTGTCGTCGGTCTCTCGATGACGCGTGAAACACTGCTGGCGTATGGATACCTAGTGAATGATGGAAAATGTGATGCACGGATGAGCGTTTGCATGTATGAGAAATATGATGAGGCATTTCACATCCACCAAATGTTCTTATCAGCAAAACCTTCAAGATGAACATGGCGTGTTTCCAAACCTCAATCTCAAATTCTCAAATGGAGAATTTTTTTTTAATTTCTATGGCGCCATAATCAGTCTGAAGCGATAGTACATCTTACAGAGTACAAGGCTATACATCTTCTTTTACGGTTTAATCTAAATACTGTCGCAATATTATGCGCAAATATATTTTCCTTTTCAAACATTTCCCTACGAAAATTGTATCAAACCTGCTTTATTTGTATGATTCGTGCATTAAGGAAAGTTTTTTTTAAGCTAAACTTTGCAATAGTCGCCTTCCTTTTTTCAAGATGAACCTTTATATTAAGCAGGTGAAGCTGTTTTATGCAAAAGCAAAGCCATCCCTGGAGATGGTAAGATTTCGTTCAAGATCCTTCAGCACTTCGTGCCTTTGCAAGCTGAAAAGACCCAATCAGGCACCATGCTGTAATCTAACCGAGCAGCTCAACCAACAGTATTCCAATTCAAAAACATTTTATAAAATGTTGCATCTGAAGGTACGAGCATCAATGGAACTACTGCTAAAAGTCTTCAGCTCATCAGCATAAACATTTTGTGCAAACTTTGGTCTTACTCTAATGGGACTTTGAGTTTCAACCTTAGAAGCACACTAAACATCTGTCACACAAACAGTCTTACGATCATAATAAGTAGATTGTGAGCACATTGACCTTGAAACCTTGTAATCTTTACTCCAGATTCGACAGCAAGGCACCAAACGGGCGAATCCTCTTCGAAACTGTTCACTTAAAAAACCATACAACACAGGGTTTACCGCACTGTTTGCGTACACCAGTACTTGGCAATAAGAGAACAGTATCCATTTTCCCCTTGAAAGAAGAAAAGAAAGATCACAAAAGATGGAAGTAAAACAAACGGACTAACCATCCCTCTGTTTACCTTATTGGTTTCCCATATTAAAATGTGTTGAGCTTTCAACTTGAGACATTCTGTCAGAGGACATGCGTAGACAACTTCACTATTGTTGTTGTTTTATTTAATTTATGTATAACATAAATCAAATTGATTTCTTGTTACCGTGCATATGTTTCGTAGAGGTATCACAAACGCACCACCGACTAGTGTGTCGCATTCTTGTCTCAACAAGTTGCGTGCATCTCAGTTGGTTATCTACAATTGGATAGGCGCACGCCAACGTTGAGGCTATTTGTGAAGCATATCCTGTTTATGGTTTATTAATTTGTTTTCAATACTTGGCCGATTAGCCTGTTAAATCGGCTTGAAGTCGCAACCAACGAGTTCGCAAAATTCAAAACTAAAGTGTTTGAAGTTTATAATAGAAAATGATAGTGGAATATGAATGCAAAACAACGCAAGCAACTGCTAATACTAAATTAACGGAGCCACAGCATAAACAATAACAAAAAGTTAAGCTTTAACACTAAAAACGCCACAACGAAGATATGAGCAACAACAATGACAAAAATAGTGAATACAACAACAAAAATGACATACACCGCTGCCTGTTTGACTCAGTTGAGAAAGAACCAGCCTGCCGTGCTGAAGCTTGAGGGTTTAAAAACACTTAGGGAATTAATTGCTGATGAAGATGTGCTGCCTTTTGAAAATGACAGTTGTCCGAAAATGATTTTATGATCGAATTTTCTCAAATGATTGATAGGCGGTTGGCCTCATTTACTGATACAGTATAAACAGGGATAAACAGGGGACATAAAAGACCCCAGGACTGTTGCTAGAGTTTGGCATGGTTGGAACGATAAAAAATGGATGTACTGTGGCAGTCTGATTTGCGAACCCAGCCACACCGAAACCTATTCCCACTTGTAGGAAGTAATATATACATATCAATACGTATCAGTCATTGCAAATTAAAGCACTGATGAGAAGGACATGCATGTTTTTTTTCCTATTTCATACAAATGTTGAGATTCCTTATGGATAAAGGAAGGTGACTAGGTCAAGAAAAAAGAAAAATGGCTCATGAAAAGGGAAGGAGAAGGAGATGGAGACTGTTGTACTAAGAATATTTATACTTACTTGTACTGTTGTCCTTCTCCAAACTCTAACCACAAATATGTGATGTGGTAAGGCAGAAAGCAAAGAAAGTAGAGAATCACCACGACTATCAACATTTTCACCACCTTTCCCTTGGCTTTCGCTGTTCTAAATCCTTCACTGTCCGACGTTTCCCTTGCGGCCTTATTAAGCTTCATTACAATTATAGTATAGAACACCGCTATGGTTGGTAGTGGTATGGCATATGTTAGACAAAATGACAGAACATTGTAAATGTCTTTGAATGTCTCACTGGGCCAACCATCCTCCGAACACCAGAGAACATCCTGATCTTCCCTTAACTGCATCACTGCGACAAACGGTAGGCTAACTAGAGTTGCGGTCAGCCAAACGACAACGATGATGAAACGCGCCTGATATAATGTAATGCGGGGCTCATATGGATAAGCAATCGCTCGGTAACGATCTGAAATTGAAAAGAGCTGTTTAGAGCACTTACTATACAATATTGCTGTCTAAATTATCTTTAAAAGATCTCTATTTACCTATCGATTTTTCGGTCGCTTTCACATCAGCTAATCTGAGATCTTTTGAAAAACCAAGAGCCGAATTGATTGACCTAATAGTTTATATTGACAACTGAATTCAAAACGTGAAGTCGGGGAAGATTCACTATAACCGTCCTCAGAAAATTCAGTCAAGAAAGAAACACATGTCGACCTTAATAACTTGACCCGCTTGTCCAAGCCGGCCTTCAAAGAAAACCGAACTTGAGTCTAGCACTTTTTAAGCAAAACAACACTTACCTAGACTTATAGCCGCTAGTGTTCCAGTGGAAGCCATAACAGACATTGCTTGTGCCGTGGGAATGATCTTACAAAGAGCGTACCCAAATGGCCAGTAACTAAGTTCAAAATAAAGAACTGTGAAGGGGATGCATAAGATGCCGACACTCAAATCAGCCACAGCAAGGTTTGCAATGAGGTAACCTGTAACTGGGAAAAAAGAAGCAATAGCTGTGATTGACGGAGACAACCTCCCTGAGTTGATTTTATTCTTCTTTAAACTGCACGAAAGTCTGAGGTATGAAAAGGAAGTAATCCCACAAGTTTCACAGCAGGAAAGTGTTAAGAGGCTTCCATCTAGGCTTACCATATATTTTCCATCTAAGATGTAGGAAATGAGGCGACATGTACTTTTTTCAGTTAAAAATTTTAAAATTTTGAAGACAAGAGGGCATTCACATTATGACGAAAGTAGTGAAAAAAAGGTCAACACCATAGTTTATCTTCCACACATTAACCTGTTAACGTTTATTTTCTAATCCTCATTTTCCTTATCATAATATTAAAAATGCTATCTGATGTGTATTAGATTTGTTAGGGAGTTAAAAAAAAAAAACATTTCAATAAAGTCAACCCTTTGGTTTTTGCGGAGATAAGAGGATTATTAATTTCAGTTGAAAAACTGATAAATGGAAAAGGCGAAGAAGTCCAATTCACCACTAAATGTTACTGTCGGAATACCCAGTGCATCCCGACAGTTCCTAGAGAGCGTGTACTTAAAAAAATTACGAACAGTCAAAATAAAAACGAACGTAACTTGACGTCTTTTGCTTGGAATTGAAGCTGATTATCCTAACCCTCTTACAACCAGAATATGTCATTGTAAACTTTACCATAAAGCTGTTTAGATACCAATCACTTCTGAGGGTCAAACGGTTTTAAAGAACGTCGAACTTTGTATCGAGGTGACTCATATCAATAGAAGGTTGGAGCAATGCAAACCTTCCTTGAAACCAACATGGCGTCAGAACGTCGACAATAAGATTAACTCCGGCTATCTGTACTATTCTGCCGATAAAATTAGTTATATTCTTTATAGGTTTAAACATCCATGTTGGTCCAGTTTTGATTCTATTCTTTTGTTGTCCTAACAAAATTTAATTAGCACCTCTGTCCACCTTATATTAATTAACAGTTAATATCTCCATCGGCTTTCATTTCTGACAACGGTTCAGATGATGGACGATTACTTCATGCAGTTACATATCATTAACTAATAAATGTTTAGAAACGAGGACAGATGTTAATGATCGTCGGGTTCTTCAAAGAGTAAATGCCATAAGTTTGCGTCATGCGGTTCAGAGCAATTACGCCTAAGCACTTCGACGAATTCCCTACATTTATCCATTTTGTTTTTCTGAGGGCCACTTAGAATCCTGTCGTCAACCAGGAAAGTGAAAGTTGAAAAAAAGAGTGTCAATGCACCTGGCTGCATTGCAAATTTGTAGTTGGTTGGGACTTAAAACAGCACTCACATGAAGTAGATTAAAGAGTTTGTTTACCAATAACATAGAGTTTAAATGTCCATATGTGTAAAGAATTGCTCATGAAAAGGAATAGTATCAAATCTACTCTACTTTGAAGCCTTGGAGGCCCATCATTTTCTTTTCACTTCAATAGATTTTTCGTCAAAACGACCAACAGATGCAAAAAAACTGAATCACTCTGTTAACCTCGATGGAGTGTTAAAGTCCAAATGCTGACAATTCTGTCAAACAAAGCAAATTCCAAGTCATGAATTCAAAACATGCCAACACAACCCATAGCCTATGTAAAACACTGGGAATAGTCCTTTTGCCATTTTTAGAACATCCCGAAAGGTTCAGAGGAGAAGATCGAATGATCTAGAACATTAAAACTGAAATCATACCTGTGTTTGTGTTTTTGGAATGCTCTGAAAATCGAATTCCTTAGCTATTGTTGACATGATTGATCTCTAAATGAAACTGAATTGTACCCAGTTGCTACTTATTATGGCTTATCACCAGGGAAACAGGAAGATTTAAAGCAATTGCATCAAGTAATAAAAGCGATATAAACAGATAAAATAAATTATCCATGAAACCGATCCATACAAATTGTTAAAGGTCAGCCAATAGAGTTGTTCAATAAATCTTGTCCCAAAACTACAATAGCAATCTTCAAATTTGCATTTCTTAGGGAAATTTCAAATTTATTGATTCTGGTAGGCAATACTTTGGCCAAGGGCATTAGCAGATAAAATAGAAGTTTTATGCAAACTTATTAAGTTTAGTACCGTGGTAAACAATTGTGGAGTGTTTTTGGAATGCATTTTTTCCTAGTTTAAAATTTTTCAATTTTAAAGTGTTTAAAAACACTTGACACGACGACAAAGGATAGCTAATAAGGCCACTTGACTAAGATATCATGACTAAAAATCGTCTAAATTCCCTCAGCGATAATAAATTCGGATTGTTGCTAATATGGTTGGCCAAGATTGGCTCATGTTCAAACCATGCAGAAAGATAGACTGATTGTTAGAGACTTGCATATTTCCCGATCCGCGACGTACGTTAATCTGCCACCAATTCCATTTTCATCACACCGTATTAGTGGATATTTTCGTAAAGTATTAAAATTAAAAGATTATAAAGATTCTTACTCTTCCCTGAGCTCCATTGTGCTGATAAACCAGTTAGAGACACCAAGGAAACGAATTTAATAAATCAATCGATCACGAGAGTTTTTTTTATCCCACGCGTTTCAATGTATTCCTGCTGTATTTGTGGCATGTTTGGCACATTGATGGCACATATACCTAACTTTTAAGGGTAATTTGATCGAAAATAATCTAAACAAAAATGCCTATACATGGTGTTTTGATTGAAACTTTGTTAATGCAGACAACACCTTGTACGCAATACCCTACCTCGCACATTTTAAAGTGCTTCTTCTATCGAGGCGTTCATATTTTCGGTATATACTGGACTATGGCTATTTCAGTGATCGTTATAATTAACCACACCAAAAATGATATATTGTCTAGATGTTCAACTTACCAGAATGAAGCTCCCTTATCTTGTAAACGACAGCAAGTACAGACACATTTCCAGTGACGGTGAGAAGAAATATTATTGTGTACACAATTAATCGAAAGATATTGGATCCCAACGGTTCGGCAACCGTTAGTATCGGTGTGGAAGTGGTATTGACAAGCATGTTCGTCTCATTTGTGGGCCACATCACACAAAGTTCTCACTAAACAACTGAATCGTCCTCTGAATACGGCTTAAGCAATTGCTGCACAACTATGCAAAGTTCACATTCGACCTTATTCAACTTCTGAAAACAATATGAATAAACGCCTGGAGTAATTTTGGTTTTAAATGACACTTCCCACTTCAAGGACGGAAACTGTCTCCTGAGCCTTAGTAACTGCATTACGTACGGTCTTCTATAAATTCCACTAAGCCATACCCCGCCGACTTTTGTCTTGACTTTTCATTAAAAAAAGCCCTCCGCAAACCTAATATTTACTCGGTTGCCTTCTCTTTTATGGGATTCGCTGGTAAAGTAATTAATTTGCCATAAACCGCTTTTCCGGTAGAACCTAAAACCAGAAATGGCTCTGATGTAATTAGCACCTTCATGAGGTATTCAGCCGATGGCCGCACCATAGGCCATGTTTTTAATGTAAACAACTGAGCTGTCAACAGAGATCTTCACTCAAAAGAAGCAAAACCCCTTTAAAGAAACGTGCGCTGAAATATAACTCATCCATGCTTACGACGGCACTTGTGGCACTTCAATAGAATCGGCGTGCTTTGCGTATCTAATAAAAAATTGAAACTACAGAAAACGACCTGGAAAAAGAACGACCACAAGGTATATATAGTACAAAAGTAAACGAAAAGACAAAACAAAATAACCACACCAGATATAATTGGCTACATAACTGTGGAATCGATGCGCACAACCCGAATTCCTCAACTGCACTTTTTTTCAGTTCAAAAACATGTTTCGGTAACTGTAAAAGGGCAACCAGCCATATGTAATTCCATGATCATAAGTTCCAGAAGCCACAACAGAATGTCTGTTTTTGCCACGCAATGAAATGAGGAAGTGATTAAAAGTTCTGAATAATCAGTCATTTGCTTCTAAATTCATTTCGAATTATTATTAACAATGCTGAAATGCCGATGAGAGCAGAAGAAAATAACAATTGAAGGGTTAACTGATACCAGCAGGGTTGAGGGCAGTCGTCAATCATTGCTATAGTTTAATATCACCGAGTTGTTATCACTACAGTTGTTTTTGAAGGCAGTCAGAAAATGGCAGGTACAGTGAATAAATGTGATCCATCTTTCTAAAAATAAAATGTTTAACTTTTATAGATGTCTATCCACGAGGTTCAAGTTGTCTCGTGAAACGTTTTCAGTTTTAACTCTTGGACCAAATATTTACTCAACATTAAAGCAGTTAGCCTCTCAAATGTACATGTATAAAAAAGCACTTAGAACTTTAAAAACTACAGAATAATTTATTGTAGAATTGATCTGTTATTTCCTGCCGTGCCAACATTGAAAGAATTCGATACCACAAAAAAATCATGGGAACCCACACACGCAGACGTGTGTGTTGGAGAGGACTCACAAATTTTCGTGAGGGCACCAAATCAGCTTTATAAAAGTCTTTACGGTGACCAATTTAAATTATCAATTCATTTGACAAAACCAAATTATCTTGTAAAGCTGTAAAGTTAAGTCACATTTCGTTTAAACCCTCGGAGACTTGATAACGAAGGTTAAGAGTTGTTCCATTAGTGATGGAATTTACGCCTGGATTTTCGCCGAAAAGTTTGGGTTTTTGTTCCTTCCCCTCACCGATCTACTAGGCAAAGCGGGGTAAAGGGGAAATAAGGAACTGAGCGGGCCTAACACAGGAATTAAATGAAGAAGGGGGAATTTTGAATTGTCTCAAGTCACAAATATGTCTTCGTGTATGGGTTGGGCTATATTAATACACATTTTCTTTGCCTGTATTACCACAATGAGTATCACTTTCTCCACTTTTAGTCTTCACTGAGCAGCGTTTAGAGGAAGACGGAATTAGCATTCAATTAATCGCTACTGGTTCCGTGTTTCATTTGTCCACTCCCCGAAATGAAAAATTTTACATTTCAATCTTTTCTTCTGAGTTAATCTTTAAATTTAACAAATTTAACACTGGTCCAACGATATCAGACCTTCTGAAGAATATTCATCGTAGAAAATATGATACACGATAAGTTACGATTTTCAAGAAAGCTATGTCGTAAAGAATCGAGTTCACACTTTAACCCTCAAGTGACTGGCTTCTAATTTCTCCTCATAGCATAAACCTTCTATCAAACATTAAAGACACGAAAAGAAGGGAAATGGCCACTAACTAAAGAAGCTCTTGATGGTTAAACAATTCTCCCTGACAGCACTTTAGGAAATTTCAAGGGAACAGTAAAGAGAATATTTATATGATTTCCAATGCTAAGAAGTGAAGGGTGAATACAAGACCTCGTTGGCTGTCTATCCTATGGCGAAGGAGAACTGAAAACAACAGAGTATCCGAGACGGCGGCATCTAATATTTTAAACACTAGTGTCCGAATCCAGGCACCAATGTCCGATTTTGCACACTAGGGTCCGATATCAGACACACTTGCCTGATTTTAGACACTACTGTCCCATTTGTAGTGTGTGATTTTAAACGCCAAGGTCCGATTTTAACACTAATGTTTGGTTCTAGACAACCGCATGATTGTAGACACTAGAGACCGATTTCAGACTCTGGTGTGCGATTTTAGACACACCAGTGTCCGAAATTAGACTTTAGTATCTGATTTTAAACACTAGTGTCAGTTTTTTTATTTTAGTGTCCGATTTTAGATGCCAGTGTTTGATTTTAGACACTAAAGTCCGATTTTAAACACTAGTGCCCGATTCAAAACGCTAATGTCCATTTTTTTAACATATGTGTCCGATTTTTAACATTAGTGTCCGATTCTGGAGTTTAGAGTCCGATTTTAAAGGCAAGTGTCCGATCTAGACGCTGGTGTCCAATTCTAGATGCTAAAGTCCTATTTTAGAGACTAGTGTGCCAGTATACGATTTTAGAAATCATTCTCTGAATTTAGACGCCAGAGTCCGATTTTAGACGCTATTGTCGGCCAAAAAATACACAGGGATGACCTGCTGGATTTTCTTTAAGTCCCCTTTAAGTGTGACAACATGTATACTTATACATCTATGCTGAGTATGAAGTAAACTTGTTAAGTTTCTTTTCGATGTGAAGTCTATTCTGTCATTTACTTTTTATTGTAACAATAGGATATTCATTGAAAATGCTAAAGGAAAAATTATACTAAAAAAAGCAATATAGTGCGGAATTGAAATTTGCCCATCTGCTTGGCTTACTTTCACTCAAGTCAGGTAATTTTATTGTGTAGTTAATATATCTTAGCGCTTGATGCTTTCTAGCTTTATTTACATGTTGTTGTAACATGTAAATGCTGTAGGCTAAATCTGCCAAACTAATGATGATTTAAAATAATGCAAAGGAGAAAATTCTTAGAAAACCTAATTTCTTTATCCAATCTGTTTACTATCGAAGAATGAAATGTTAGAGATGCCTTTTAATACAGATTAAAGGAGATAGTAATTTTGAGCCTGGTCTTCAATGTTGAAAAAGATGGTTACAAATTTTGTCAAAGTGTGAGTTAGAAAAAAAATGCATGCACCCACAAGGATTCACTGGCTAGAGCTAAAGCGAAAGAGATATACCTATGCACGGATTGATGTAGATTTGCGATGCAAAGCATACAACTACTTCAAAAGCCAACATACCGCAGAGAATTGGACTTATCTAGACTTTAAGGGGTTTTTTTTTTAACTCCAATAAAATTTAAAATGAACATTAAAACGCAAGGATATGCGGCTTTGGCTGTTTTATCCTTTTATCCTTATAATTGCCCTAAAGTTTCAGTTCTGGGTCTAGGGAATGTGAGCATTTCCTTCCCCAGAGGTCGCAAGCCCTCAAGGGAAGCTGACCTAAACAGTCATAGCCTTTGAAAAGTGGAACGGAACTTCTAAATCGACCTCTTCCTTGTCTTCCTCTCAAACAAAGTAAAAAAGCTCAGAGGGAGCTTTTAATGATCGTACAATGTCTGGAAAGGCCAGAGTCTCAGATTATCATATATACAAAAGGCTTCGTAGCGTTTAATTTTCGAGTGACTTGTTGTAAAGCTTGCAAAGGATCATTTCCATATGACAACTTTTGTGGTGCGATTGGAGAAAAACCAAATACGATTGGCATCTCTTAATCTTCGCTCTTGGACTATCTTATTTAGGTCCTTCAAAGAACTTAGTAAAGTGACGGTAGCCAGGTCTTCGGAAATCTCAACGACGTGGAAGCTTTTTTATCGAGTTGAACTAGCTCGAGTGCTCATCGTACTTCGCGGTGTGTAGAAACCTCTTTGGCTCCCGCCGCGAATGGCTCTTTTAAATCCTTTCTTGAATTGGTCTCCAAGGAAAGCATACAAAACTGGGTTCGTTGCGCTGTTGCCGTACATCAGGACTTGGAAATAGGACTGCATGATGTACATGTATCTGCCGGTAAAAAATAAAAAAATTGAGATGTCCACCTGTACTTCCCTCTGGCAATTTAACCTGTAGAAAATAAAGCTAAGAGATAAAATCTTCCATATTGGCCTTTTTCTCAACATAGTCCTTCAAAAGCTTTTCTTAGATCACTCACGTAAAGTGAGATCGTAGTATGGTCTATAAATAGACAATTAAAATGTCCCTATTTCATGACATACCATCATCAAAATCTACAACACGCACAAGCTGAAACCAAATACCCTGGATACTTTATGGACCTACACATGGAAGTCACTCTCTTAGCTTCATCTTCTCATGGTGCAAAAGTACTAAAATAGTTATCCTTTTTTATTTGGCACTCAATTATGACTGAAGGCTATAAGTTTGTTAAAAATTAAGAAGGAAATAAGGGTGTGTTTTTATAGGAAGGCAAAGAGAGGAATACTTATGTACGGTATCCAGCATTTTAACTTAAGCAGGCTACAATCGATCTTTATGCAATATTTTATCAAAGCTTTAGATATTTGCTTACATTAGATTTACAGCTCACAACTAACCGCTTAAATGTTAATTGTGGAAGGTGACCCCCAACCATAAGAGGTTGATTTTCTGGATCGAAACCTCTGCAGTCTAGTAGAATTAAATACTTGTTTGACTCCCATTTTGAACTGATCACCAAAGAAAGCATAAAGCACAGGATTGGAAGCACTGTTTGAGTACATGAAGACGCTTGAGAAACTTTGGAGGATTGGAAAGAACCTATGAGAGAATAATGTAAGGAAAAGGCTTCACGTAAGTTAGACAGTGAGATGTATACAGTTATCATGATGAGCAAGCAGTGGGCATGCGCGGGTGTATATCCAGAAATAAGATGGCAGCTAGCACAAGCGATCAGTCATGTTTGGATAGTGTATCGAGTAGGGGAACTTTGATATGAATGCCTTTCATTGATCTTAGACTTATCGCTTTACTAAATTTACATCAATTTTTATATGGCAAAAAGATTATAACGAGGCATTTAACTTCTTGAAAAAGATGGCAATCCTTAGCTCCGGGAGTCCGCGTTGTTCACTTGCCGAGTCAACCTTACAGAGACATCTATTAGAATTATTGTTTATCTTTCTATTTGAAATTTCGGGATTTTTTTTGTTTTATTATGTTTCGTTTCGTTTTGTTTTGCTTTGTTTTGTTGTTTTTTTTTTCCACAACTCTTATTATCTGTACTGTTCTATGAATGATGACCGCAGATGACAACCGATGCTTGCATATTCCGCTAATCATATCTCCTGTTTGTGGCTGTTGAATCAGAAAACAAACTTATCTGCGCGAAATAGTATAGTAAAACCGATAAATTGATCAGAACCTACCTGGATTGATATTCCCCGAAGTCCATCATGAAATACAAGGTGTGGAAAGGAAGGAAACACAACGCGTAACAAACAACCACCGCTGCCAACATTTTGATGATCCGTTTCGTAGCTTGAGCCTGAGTGAACCCAGGTCTGTCAGCCCCCTCTTTGATAGCTTTACGAAGTTTTACACCGATTTTGATGTAGATAAGTATCATAATTGGAAGAGGAATAGCGTAAGTCAATGCAAAAGTGCATAATAGGTATATTTTAGAGTAGGGCATTCCAGTGGTTATAGGCCAGTCCTCTTTACAGGCAACGCCTGCTGGATATGGTTCAGTAGTCATAACTCCCAGCATTGGCAGCGCTGGGAGAAGAGCTATCAGCCATATTAACAACATGATCAGCTTGCCTTGATACCGTGTGATACGCATACCAAATGGATGCACTATGGATTGATGGCGATCTGCAATTGGAGAACGTACTATTATCTAAAGCAGAGTACAATAGAAGACGGAGGGTGCTCTTTGATTCTGTGGTCTCTACTTCCAAGGAGTGCCGATATCGTCAAAACCATGGGCTAAACTCCCAGTCTCAGCTCAAGGATTCATCAGCAAGCAATAAACGAAACAATTTCTTCCATTAAGAACCTACCCTGAACAATCAATAGATTATATTCGGCTCAACAATACACCGAAGCTTAAATTGAAATATAACTGATTGAGATCTACTTTTAGTAGAATATTCTGTTACTGCTAAAAGTATTCTTTGAATATATTCCTTACCCAATGAAATTGCCAACATTGTTCCCACCGATCCCATAACGAAGCAAGCCATCAGAGCAGGAAGGAGTTTACACATGAAGGCACCAAATGGCCAGTGAAAATCCAGTTCAAAATATACGACAGTGAATGGAATACAAAGCATCCCTACTCCAAGGTCAGCCACGGCAAGATTAGCAATAAGAAAACCCGTTACTGTGAAACAAAATTCATTCGTTAGCATGTTCTCTTTAGAAGGAGGCAGGATGTGGTTCTTTCTCATCTTCTATTTTTGTTAGACGAGAACATGAAAATGTTTGAATCGATCGTCTCAGCATGCAAGATACAACTTAATGACATTTTTTTTTGAGAGAGAGAGAAAAAAGAAATAAATCTCCGTGGAATAACGGAGAATTAGTTAAATACACAGCTTCCATTTGAGATGACAACCCGTGAACTATTCGAAAGGTGAAGACCTGTTTATGAATTCTCTCACCCAATATTTTTATCGTAAATTTACACCTAAAGACAGTCCTTTGATGTAGGCCAAGTTGTTGTAAAACGTATGTAACTATGGATGAGTATACTTGTCAGTCTTTCCTCGTACCCACGTTGTGTAATTATCTTTTGTTTAGTGACTGTTAAGGCCTGGGGATGAATTTTGAGTGTCAGCCACTTGTTGGCTAGTAAGATCTATCGAGTGGTTTGAAAAGTTAAAAGACAATCGATTTGAAAAGTTTCTTTTTTTTAAACAAAGCAGTCAAGAGACATGTCAAGCTTGTGCGGGTGGCCAAGTAAATACATATGCTTTTTGGATTACCCAAAGAGGAAAAACACTCAGCTAAGAAGAATTGTGCGTGGCTAAGCTGTTACCTTGCCACCCACAATCTCAGGAAGCTCATAAATACTTCGAGTAAAATTTGAATAAAAACGACCAAGTTTATCATGATCCATCGTCTTCAGGTTTCCATATTGTAAAACAACAGCAATATTTCAGGATTACTCGGTATCAAAACATGACCTCGAGTTTTGTAAGTAATGATTAAAACTCCGATATTAACCACGAATAAGGAAAGTTGGGAAGAACCCTCCACAACTAACCATTTGAGTATAAATTATTCACGCTTTCCTATCTTGGTTGTCGGTATTTATAATATTTACCCCCGTAATCTACATTTCTAGTTTTTTAAATGACGTGATTTGAAAAATCGTACAAAAACATAAAAGGTCACGAAAGTCAATGTGAATGATTTCCTGACGGACATACGATCGTCCTATTAATACCAATGACTTCAATAATTAGCGGAATCGGCTTGTTACACGGTGAAACGAAAGCAAAAAAAAAAAGGGAAATGCTAGGAATTCACATAAAATGGCGTAATATCCTCTTGTTCTGTAATTATAAAGTTAATAAAAAGTTCTTTGTTCATCGGAAAGCTGGCAGACCGAATGCTTAATCATACTGCTTCTCTAATATGGTATCTGGTTTACTGATGGAAACAAAAACCATATTTCGTTGGACAATTTATAATTTACGCAGTAATAACATTTTTTTCTTCAAAACCTTTGGCTTTATTTCAATAAATTCTTCCGTTGTTATAATAATTGTTTCTGCAATTTTCTGTTTTTCTTTTCTGTTGTAGTAATGTTTGTTCACCATCATTGTTACTTGAAGCGCGTTCACGGTGTCTCTAATGGTTTGCTTGTACTTGAGTAGACGTCATGGATCCACTGAAGACAAATCACGCTTAAAGCGAAGTTGGTGATCTTTTGGAAGTTATGCAAGCTTTGCAGAAACACTGATTATGCCATGGGTCAACAGAGAAAAGGGAGTTCACGCCAGTTAATGGAGCAATGCTCGAAGTGAAATATTTATGTGTACTTAATCAAGATGTGGAACTGCCTTTTGTTTGCCCTTAGACAGGAAACTCGCACACCTTTTCACCCGTGTCCGAAATTGACTGCAAACTTTGCTTCACACGAAAACATGAGGAAATTAGGGATTTTCGCTTTGTGTTAGAATAACTCTTTTGTTTTCTACACAAATCGTAACAAATAGGCCTAGAAGTTAAAATGGCAAAGGAAACTTCTAAACATTTCAATGCCGCTCGTCGCTATCCATCTATAAACCCTCTGTTGACAATGAATCATGAATTTAGGCGCGACGCCGTTTAGACTTGTTTCGAATGTTGAGGTTTCACGCAAAAAAGTGACAATACCATTAAAAGAACAGCGTGTTTATGGTATTAGTGACTCCAACTTGTAGAACCCTATTTCGTCATACTACTTTCGTGACTTGAACGCAACGCAAGAAAAAAGATTTTGAAGAAAAATCTCAAGAGCAGAGGACCATCAACAGCGGGGTACTTAGTTTATCCTTTTTATCGGTAATCCTCTTAGGAACGTACGCGTAATTGTGCTTTGTGAATATGAAATTAACTTACCTGTATGCAGTTCTCGTGTTCTATAAACCACGAAAATTACGAGAGCGTTTCCAAACGTTGCCAGCAAGAATATAATGACATACACCGTCAGGCGAAAAATTCGAAGACCCAGTGGTTCCACAACATAGTCCATCTGAGCTTGGGGTGCTTCCGTCCCGTTGGTCGCATTATTCATTTTTGCGAAGAAAACAAGACGGTTTTGTCCGAGTAAGACTCACGATGATCTACATATGATTAAACGACCCAACGATTAGCTCTCGAGAGAATCACTAATGGATCAGCATAATTCCTTCTGAGGTCGACTTGGACTCGTCCGTTTTGACATCTGTTTGGCGGGACCTTTTAGTTTGTTTCCTTTTAGTGCTGTTATGACTTTCCCTCTTCTGTAATGCGACCCTTGAGTTTACTTACACAACAAATAAACGTCCGACCATTAAGGGAGATAGTCTAGATTGGTTTCCTGATTACAAGGCGCCAAAGCCATTTTGCTTCCCTTCAACCTAGCAGGGATTCAATTTAGAACTGCGTGGTGCTGAAAACTCGTGTTAAGATCGTATTAAGATATCCTTGATGGTGTCAGATGGTAACATTTTAATAGGTATTTAAGAGCCAAGACAGGATTTGTTGATAAACAATGAACACGTACAAGCTTTTGTGTTTTCCGTACATGGATTTGAGGTGAATTTGATAAGTGTGAATTTGCATTATTGAATGTTCAAATGCCAAAAAATTAAAGGAACATGCAAGATCTTCAATTTGGAAAGGATCTCAATACACGCAGTCTGCAATCTAAAAGTCGTAGATAAACATCTCAGACTCCATTGTCCGAGATTTGTGGGTCAAAAACGCTGTCCTCAATAATTGTCATGTAGTATTTTCAATTAGAGAAGAAAGGGAAACGTTTCAGCATTACCATTACAAAGAAATCATGAAATCTAATTAAACCATCGGTAATTACGAAACCTAATTCAACAACTTCTTGAAATGGCCTGGATCAAAATTGCATTGGTCAAGCATCTCCGGAAACGTTTTGATTTCACAATCTGCCTCAACGTGTGCTAAGTCTGGTACGTCAACCATCTTACATTGCAATGAACCGGCTGAAAATAGTACTCCTGATCAGTTGATCCGTTCAACAGAAAAGACAACATGAACTGGTAGGCTTATGCAACACAAAGGCTCATAGAGTACAGGCACCAGATGGATTTGAAACATGGAAAAAATTTTAACTGGAATGTGCCAAACGAACTTCTCGACATGTAATTAACTTTTCAGTTCGTAACTTGGTGAACTCCTGCTCTTACTAGTTCTTTCATCGAGCAACGTGATTTAGTGTCAAAACCAGCCTCTGTTTCAAGCACAGCCACATTTGTTTCCAAAATTAAGAGCAAGTTCCCTGTAAAAGTACGCCAATGTCGAATTGGATGACACTTGCAGAATTTATTATGAAAACAACTGTCTTCTCTAAGCGATGTTTTGAACAGTTTTTGATTCCAAGACTGAAGGTCCTCTTTGATTTACTTGGTACAGAACAACCGGATATTATCTCAAGGGTCAAAAGGTTATCAGCTTTTTAATAACCAAAGCCAAAACAGGCAAAACCTATCGATGATATAATATCACTATTCAGATGATGATATTTCACACACAACATAACATCGATCATCCAAGTCCTAAGTTCCTTCCAAAAGCAATATAACTTAAATCTCTAAACTTTTGGACTACAGCAGAAGCACAGATCTCAATATTGTTAATTTACGAGAAGGTGGCAAAGAGCGAAGGACCTATCTGTAATTTCTTAAGAACTGCCCAAAAGACCTACCCCTTGACTTGCAAAGTAGACATTCATTTGAAAACGAAAAACTAGAGAAAGATGACCTGGTAACTCGTCCAACACACAGTATGAACAGAATTCAGCTGAAGAAAATTTCGCGAACATTTTCCCTTTGAGAGTTAATTTTTGGCCAATTTTTACCTTTATTCCAGTCCAGTATCAGCACATCTAAAAAGTGTCACAAAATAACTTCAAGAATAATTTTAGTCAATAAAACCTCTGGTACTCTGGGACTCTGCAGTGATCCAACGCTTGACTTCAGCCTCAGCTAAATCATTAAAAGACATAAAAAACTTCTCTCACTTTTGGCAATTTCTTCCCCTACACTAGGGCCTTAGAACTTTGCCAACGTCCAAGCCACGAATATAACATAGAAATCATACATTTAAAGAATTGATCATCACCTTCTGGATAAGCATAGATGTTGTATTTGTTGTACGTTTTTACATATAGTACACAATATATATTTATTGTATTCTTAACTGACATTTGTTGAGTCTGAACTTATTAAGATTTTTTTTATAATTTACATTCATTTGTGTATATTTATATATTAATAATCTTATCAGGCTTATTAATGAGGTATAATATGTACGAATCAACTATGGTAAAAAATAACGAAACGTTCTTTTTCCTCTTCAAAAAACTACAGAGGCCAAATTGAATAAAATTATTGAAATTGATAAATCTCTGCTCAACCCCAAAAACCTTAAGAGTGACCAGCATCTAATTTCTCCTTACAGTAAACTGTTGAACCATTCATTAATATCATGAGAATTAAAGAAATGATCGGCAACCTAAGAAGCTTCAATTGTAAACGAATTAACTTGGTCAGTGCCAAAGGAAAGTATAGAAAAGGGTATTGAGAAAATGGATATTCATATTAAGGTGTAAAGGGCTTAGAGCCTAGTTTTTCTCCTAAACTGCACCGACAAAACAAAGCTCCATATTGCGTGGTGACTATACCATAGAGGTTTCAGTTCTAGGAGTAGGCAAACTACTTAGTAGAAAGTAAAGACGATAGTGGTCTGAGAAAAAAATAGCTTTAAAAAAAAGGAGCCCAGCTCTTGGAAGTTTTCATAAAAGCCATGTAATAAAGGTCACCCATCAACAAAAGTTGGTCACTTGCGGCGCTTAGTCCCTGCTAGAGCACAGCCGTGAATAATTTATAATGTCTGGTGTACGTTTCTTTTAATTTTTTTGTCCTTTCATGTAACGCATTGAAGAGGTAACGATAACTTCAGATTTTCCTTTCCTGGTTTACCCATCGATCGAGAAACACTTAGGGGAATCGTTAGGAACATAATTGAGAGGACTAGATTGTTTTCAGAGAAACAAACTACCGACTGTACACTGCCGTGAAATTTACAAGAATCTGTCACGCAGCCTTGAATTTCACTTATAATCAAACCAAGTCATTTTCTGCGGCCTCCCTCTCCCTTTCCTCGTTAACTGCATTAACCAGTTGTTGATCCACTTTAAGACGCCAACGCAGATGCGATGGCAATGCTCTTTTACCCAAGTGGTTGCCTAAATCGGCCACCTCTCTCTCAAACTCTGCCAGTAACAGTGAAGGGTCATTCATTTGGGAGTGTTTAGTAACTAGACCGACGTAAATCTGTCCGCTATGATTTGTAATAGAGACTGAAAAACCATTCTGGGTCTTTCTAGGAGTCCAGCACGCCATCATCTTTGTCATTTTGCCATTCAAATAGACTGGCATGTTGGGTCCAGGAATTCGGGTTACAGTACACGAAACCTTGTTTAGCAGGTAATTAATGAGCCTCCTCACGACAGACAAGGGAAACAGAAGAAGACACAGCTTGATGAAGCCATACATGATAGTGCTTTCAAGAGTAAAAGAAAACTTGTCTACTCTGCGTCTGGTTTCCCAAAGTCGAGGCACAGCACCTTCGAAGAAGAAAACATAGCTAATTAATCTATAGCCATTAATAAATATAATAAAGAAACTAAAGATAAATAATAAATAATAATAATAATAATAAATAATATCTATATGACATCTTAATAAAGATGTCATGGGTATCAATTGTTTTTTGTGATCCCCCAACACAAAAAGCACTTTCTATAATGAAATTCAGCAAGTCATCTACAAGACAAGACAAAAGCACAACATAGCATTATGTCTCATAAAATTGTAACATTGAGTAACTCACAAATGTTAAGACCACTTTTGTAGCAGTAGTTACATTGCTACAAGTGCAACCACTGTCAAATTAATAAATCACAGTTATTAGGCTATTATGGAAGGGAACTCCAATCACACCCAACCTTAACCCTCATTTTGAGAGAAAGCTCTCAATATTTTAGTGAGTTCACCTTGGTTAAAACCCATTGTGAACACTATCTGTTCTAGAGAACAAAGCATTGGGACTGTACCTTCTGTGCCGACTGGTAGTTTGATAAAAGCCATGGAAAATTTGTTGTCTAGCTCGAGTCTGGAATGCTGAGGTCTTACATCAGTTCTTATACAGACTCGAACATCATCAGGGTATTGAACTCTGGATTTCTGGAGGAAGGAACGAATAGCACCAGCCACACATGAAAGCAGAATAATGTCAACTGAAATAAAAAATTCCAAGAAATTATTTTACATCTTGCTTATTCAATATTAGATATTAAAATGAACAAATAAAACAAGTTTAATCAATCAATCTATCAATTAAAAAAATAACACCAAAGTGAAACTTTTTAATTCTTGATCATAACTAAAAAAAATCAATGAAATGAATAAATATCAAAATGTACATTTAACATTTCCACTGAAAGAACCTTGTCAGATGAGCTGACCAATAACCTAAATAATAAAACTCCAGCAATGACCAGCTACAAATAAAAACACTGACTTGCAAGCAAACCCTGCTTCAATGGATGAACAGCTCCCAATTTCTTGGGCAGATGCTGAGTAAAGTTCACTACTGAGAAGCTATCCGTAATAGGGGACATCGTTTTAGAGCTTTGTGGATTTTCTATCCTGAGAGGTTCAACTATATCAAACTTTGTGAACCTCAAATCCAATATAAAGATTGGGAACCCAAGGATGAACATTGGGAAGTGTGATTTGGGAGGAGGATGTCTCACAAGAACATACAGTCATAATAAAAGGCCAAGGACTTTCCCTTACTGAACCCTTTCTCAAATACATCTATAATGCATTTTAATGTATTGCAAGCAGTCAAGGATCCAAACCACTTTTACATAAGGGATTAAGTTTCTAAAGAAAATGTGGTGCTAACTCCATTGAGGGTAAATTTAAAAGATAATGTGATTTGATAAATTAATTGACCACCACAAAGAGTTTCTAAACCTGAGGTTTCAAGTGTTAGCCACTTTCCTCTTACTTAACTCTAACCCAAACATCAGCTTTAGAAACTCTTTAAGTTGGCCAATTTTCAATATCAACTCAGTTGATAAAACCAAATTACTTAATATGAAGGCAGAGCAGATTTGAAGGTGGCTACCTCAGTAAAGTACCCACCAGAGAAGAATATAAAAAAAATTCCCTCTTGTTATCCCATCATTTCCATCAAAAATAAACTGGTATCAAACAGAGTTTTGTTGTTAAACTTCCATTGATGATCTTCAAATATATGTCTCCTTTATAACATTACTGATCAAAATCTTGCATTTGCTGGCATGCAAGCCTGCTTCTTGAGTTTCACTCAAAAAGTCCACTGAAAGGACATATGGTTACTGGTTACTGAAATTTTAGTCAGTATGTTCTTGGAATCTCAAAATCCTTTTTTTTTTTTTTTGCTGGAAATGTATTGAATGTATGCTGAATATATGATAAGACAATATCAGTCATTTTTATCAAAACTTGTTCATAAAGCCGAAATTCAACTGAAAGAACTATAGAAAAACTTAAGGTGTTTTAGGTCTCAACTTACAACAGAATACCCACCAAAGCTCCCACAGGTACCAGGTCTTACTGAAAGCACTGCTTAATGGATAGAATAAGAAAGTGAATCCCATAGGATTGCTGGGCTGCTGGCAAAAAAATTTGCCTTGGTCCCTCTTAAAGACTTCAGGATGCAAAATACAAGTTGTATATGTGTTTTACTAACCACAGTAATGAACAAGCACTTTTTAAAAATACACATATGTCCATATAGATTAAGGCAATGCTTCCAAAATTCACTCAACATTTGCCAGAACCAATATTGTTTAATGTTGAGACCACTTCAAAAGAACTTCTCTTATAATTTGCTTAAAAAATAGAGTGAAAAAAAAGAAGCTAATTGGAGTTATGTTAGCAAATGGAGAACATTTCTACAAGTTCATATATTTATAAAACACTGCTCAAGCATTTTGCGCATCAAATGTTGCTCTAACATCTGATTTTAACGGTCGTTTAACTTGTAATCCCAATTACGCTGTAACTATCACTTTCTCTAATGTTGTGTTTGTTTTTTTCCTCTGTTATTATTGGAAAAAAAATTGTTCTGATTTCAGCGAAATATTTGACTACAATTACTTTAAAAAATATAACCTCTTGGAGATTTCCCAGTTCTCCTACTAATTCATATCACATAATATTACCTTCTGTACGAGTTACATCTTTGATCCGCTTGACAGATTTAAAATCTATCGGTCCAGACCAATAAACTTGGAAGGTATCGTCTGCACTATTCTGTTGCATTCCCTCATGATCAGTCCCACATAAATCTTCCTGCTTTGTCATGAGTAGTCTCTTGAGAATTACAAGTGGTCCAGTGAAGCTAGCGAAGAAACAAGAGGCTAAACGTCCGAGGAAGAAGCAGTGCCTCTTGAGAAAGACAGTCTTGTAATCAAGCGAGTCTAGTACAATTCTAACAAAGGGGAATATATCCGCAATGCTTTCATGCATTTGAAACAGCACCCCAGTATCTTCGCTCCCATTAAATTTCGGGAACAAGACCACTCTCCATAATTCTTCTCCACCACTGAAGTTGGATATTTCCTTAATTTCTTTCAAATCTCCAGGATCTGACGACGAATTTCCTTTAAATTCAAAAACGCAATTGTTTACGTCTAAATTGTCTATTTCTTCCCATCCATATCCACTCAAGATCGGCACGGGAGATTGTTTTAGTTTTAGTAATCGTAAATTTCCTAGAAGCATTTCTTGATGCACAAGTTTACTTTTGACAAAGCTTTCAAGCTCATCGATGGTTATTCTTCCTTCAAAAAGAAAGAAAACATTAGACATCGGAGCTGTATTTACACAACTTGCTTGAAGCCAAACAGCTTCGGAAGCCGACATTTTGCTCAGCTTTCCATCGCGATAATGCCGAATACTGAAATAAAGAATGAGTTTCCTCGCGAAAAAACACACTGGAACCACGAGAATCACAAAACTGAGAAGTAATGCGAATAGAATGAGGTTTATGATAAAGACCAATAACGACAGAATAAATCTGCCTGAGAAACCGGATTCTGTTGGATGAGTCAGTCGTGGGTTTTTTCTGTTTGCTCTGCCTTGAGTCGGTGTTTGTTCTTGAGGGAATGTCTGGTTCAGACGCTGATTGTTTCTTGGAGATGCCCAGCATCTATCTGTCGTAGAGCACATAATCTCTATTCCCTGGACACGTAAATTCCTCTTTCAGAATGTCTATTTCGCACGCGAACAAGACAAGCTGTCGTCAGCCCTGTCTCGTAACATGCCATATTTCCTCTGCTTAATTTCGTGCCAAATACGTCTTAGGCCAGAATTATACGATGGAAAAACCTATTATGATAACTGCACAATATCTGTTTCATCTTTTCCTCGAGGTTGTAGCCACCAAACCGATGTTACCGATACAAACATGGGTCAGTTTAGCGAAATATATTACGTTCTGTTTCTCTGGAAACGCCGCCATGTTTGTTTACGTTTGAGACATTTGCAACGAAAGTACTGATTGGTTTATAAAATATAAAAAGGAAATATTATTGGCTGGTGATCTTTATCAAGCAGCCGGCGCGAAAAAAAATAGTCAAGAAAAGTCAGGTAATGGAAATTTTGAGAATACATTTGAATTTAATCAAAGTGAAGGGTGACAATTTGATGTAACACAACGGATTTCAAAATTTTAACTCAGCCTGCTTTTCACACCTGCTCATGATTTGCTATGACTTTTCGTGCGGGGAAGGAGAAGTGTGTACGTAAATAAGTTACATTAAAAAAAGATAAGTAAAAAAAAACTAAAACTACCGCAGGGGTCCCTGTTCTCCTCTAAAACGTTTGAGATAAAAATTCAAAGCACTATACGAACGAGTTTAATGCGAAAATACAATTTGGCACCCCGCAGAAAACAAAACGCGAATTTCTTAATTTTGACACTTAGCATAATAATTGGGGAGGTTTGTCGCCGTCTGCGATATTTAAATGAAGTGACAGATGCTGAATTCGGTCTACTTTCTTCACATTGCGTTTACTGGTCACTTCTGTTTTTGAAAGTAAATCTATTGCGTGGGTAAAGTCATGGTGTCATCCTTCACTTCAATGTCTGTAGATAAAAATGGGTTATTATATGTCATATTTTCCCCAGAAATACAAATATTATCTTTGAAAGACTTGCATTATTGATTAGTTATATCCCGTCAAAAAACCCGCTTTTCAGGAGAGTTCGATCGCAATCGTAAGAGATAAATGGTTTATGGCTAGGGTCTTTGTGCTTCATTTCAGGCTTTGAGGGGAGGTGTTTCCTTGCCAAAAATATCGTTGTTTTTTTTTTTTTTTATGATTTTAACTTTGGATATTTGAACTGTTCAAGTTTAGCTCAGAGATATGTCAATGCTGATAATCCAGCTTGAGAGATATTATAATTACAACTTTCCATTCGGTACACGAAAGCCTGAAAAATTGCAGCTGTTGACATTCGTGCTGAGGTTAATGCCGAAAATGATTTATACCGGTGTGGAAAGTAAAAACGAGGTCTACCTGAGAAATATCACGGAAAGAAAGAGAGTGACAAGCTTAATCCAAACTAGAGTCGCACATAACGTGAATGAATTTCATTTTCTATACGGTTTCAAAAGTTTGTTTGTTTTTTTTTTCGTTTTGTTTGTTATTTTTGCTTTGCTTTTGTTTGTTTTGTTCTTTTGCTGTTTACTTTTTTTAACATAAAAACATATAACCCCCCCTTGCTAATGCACTGAGAGGGCACGTTGCCGAAGAGATGAAAATATCACCCCTTAAGATGTTTTCTTTCTCGACAAATGCACCAAAGAAATCTGAATTCACTAATTGTATTGTGTTCTTAATGACCATTACTCTGAAAATGCGAGAAAAATCTTGATAACAATGAAGACACTCTATGGAATACATTACTATTCACTTTTACTTATATTTTACTCTTTAATGAGTTTTTTCCTTTGCATTTAAGTCCAAAAATACTTATCTTTAGCCTATATACTCTTGATAAAATTTATCGTCCAATGAAAGCCTCAAGTCACATTAAATTTGGGGTTAGGGTTTGGGGTTTGAGCATACGCTAATGGTGAGGAGATTATTCTTTATAAATGAAAAGTGCTGAATGTCGCTCAGAAATCCCATAACAATATTTTCTTGGAATACCTAAACCATTAACCGTTTCATTCAATGTTGAACCAACAAAAAGCAGTGCATGTCTTTATTCATCAAGATCGACAATTCTATTTCGCTCGCATTTGGGATCTTGCCCTGTTTACTAAAAGTGCTGCAGAATTGCCATTCTTTGTGAACCTCTTCGTTAATTACAGAAAAAATAATTTTGATCTTTGGTTCTCTTCTTCCAAAACGCGATGCAAGGAGGATTCCGTGCTGTTTTCGTCCACATTAAAACACATAATCGAGCTTAATTACAGGAAGCAGCATGGCTTAGCTTGGTGAAATTGTCAATACTCGCCCAAGATGGACAGACATTTCTTTAGCCTCCTAATCTCGCGGTTTATCCATTATCCAGCTACGGTTGGAGCCGTTTGGTTTTCATATTTTGGATTGAAACTTTTTTCATTCTTACTTTGTTTCTCTTAAGGGTTTCACTAATGTTTACATGTGTTTACCAATCTCTCTTGGAACCAAATCTCGATTTTTTTTAAGTGCTATTCTGCGCCGTTGGTTGAATTCTCAGTTTCCATACTAACTAGCCATGCAGCTTCCGTGTACTTGCCCCAGGCTTATCAGCACAAGGTATGAATTATAAGTGCTACACAGATTTTTTCCCTTTTGTTGTTCTTTTCTTTCCCATTTGCTTTTGGCCTTTCTGAGTGGAGATGGGGCTGGTTGCTGGTTGCGATGGCCTGGTTTTAGAGCTGGATGGTGGGGAGATGAATCCTACTAAAGAAGGACGATAGTGAATGAATAAAAAAATTATAATAGTTGACTATTCTGTGCAGGTAATCAACTGCATATATAAGTATGGGGTGTTTTTTTTTACTCACTGCGAAGGACCATCTCAGTTTTAATAAAGCGCTAAAAAATGCTTACAGAAAAATCAGATGCTATGTCATTCAGAACACTATGGCCACTGACTTACGTCCTCATTTCCGACATGGGACAACTACAAAAAAAAACAAACAAACAAAAAACAACAACAGCAAAAAAGCATATCCTATAGCAACAGTTTCGTTCAGATGCATTTTATAGTCATTTATTTCAACTATCGCACTTCTTAGGTAAAATAATTCATATATTCAGAGTTCTAGCACTGTAATTTAAAAACATAGATCATTTCTGACAGCCATAGTAGTGTAAATGAAAGGCAATCAAGAAGCAAAAGAGAGATGTCCTCGTTAAAGATGTTCAAAAATGAAATTGCTGACCAAATTTTTTTTAAACACTATTGATCTGCAAACATGGGAAAGAACCTTTTTCAACTTTCCGACGCTATTTGGTTAAAGAGAAATTGTAACAAAAGGAAAACCAATAACCTAAATAAACACGAGATTAAAAATGGAAAATTTTGTTTGACGAAGGAAAGAAATAAAATCTACGAAGGGTATTTTCTCAGTTGGCGATAGCTTTGATGACTAAAACGATTGTTTCTAAATACTTGGGTAAAGATGTGTATGCATAGTGCACGATTTCTGTTGCATGCGATTTAGAGCCATACTATCTGTTGTATGGTGAGTATTTAATTGAAAACGAAAAAAACGATAAACCACATAAATAATAATTTCACCCTTATAATGTAAACGTTAACAACTCAGGAAAAAAAATGTGATTGAATTTTTTTTGTCATCACTTGCACTCTTCTTACTTCTAGAAAAAGGTAGCATTACCGCGAGTAAAGCATCGTGATGATGAAAGAGACACTGCAGACTGGATCGGAGTCACGCGGGAAGGTGGAAGGTCAAAAAGAGATAAAAGGGCATCAACGAAAAGATCTAAGCTCCTCGTATCGGGAATATTTTTTCGCGCAAAATGCGTAAAACATGAAAATTAAACATTCATCCCAGTCACCTATCCTATCAGCAGGTTTGAATGTCCGTTGTCTGTAAGCATATAATAGTTATGCTCGTTTTTCGTAGAAATAGCGAAAGACGGAAGGATATTTAATGTTCTGCCAGATATACCTCACCTGCGACGGGAAGATCATATTTCATTTCAAACTTCACTCCACGTTTTTTCCCAGCCGGTGTCCGTGATGACTGAGCAGACAGTGATGATGGACGTGGATTTTTATTTTTCGGTGAAGTGGGAGCATCTGCCATCTTTCGTTTAGGCACTGGATCTTCAAAGAATTTCTTCGAGGGGAAAACAGCACAGAGAATCAAGTGTTTGGATACCCATTCAAGATAAAAAGTTGACTAAGCTTATCAAGTTTTTGCAGGTGAGTCGCGTGACCAACCCAAACCAAGCCAAAGGAGCCTGCCCCGATTTCCAGACCATGGATTAACTGGCAGTATGTTTACTTATAGAGATGGAATACTACTCCACCCTAACAATTGCGTCAGGTTTTCATAGCGGTTTATCGGTATCCATTTACACTCCGCGTGGACAGAGGCAGGAAAGGGAAACAACGTAACTGACACGTTTTGAAGCCGGACTTCTCTAGCAGTTTGTTTTTGACGAAAATAAGTGAATCACTGAAATGAAAATAACAACTGACTCCTATGCCGTAAAGTAGGTTACCCTAAAACACGTATAGGCCAAAACGAATAGGAGATACGCTTCTTACCTTTGGGGTTGCTTTGGGTGCTTCCTTTCGTTTTGGCTCTGTCGCTTTTGACGTCGTAGTGGTCTTCTTGTTTGGCTCTATAGGGGGCAACTTTCTGGGTGATCTCTCAACAGTTGCACAAATCATACCCTCATATTTTCGTGTTTTACCCTGAACATCTGGCTTGGTATCCGAAGAATTTCCTTTGTTCTTACTTTTACTGTCGGAGGCTGCTTCGGTCACCATCTGTATGGTACTCATAGCAGCCTCGTTTGGTTTGTTCTCCAGTCTCTTTTGTTTTCCGTCTTGGGCACTGTTTTCTTTGCCCGCTGGTTTGTTTTTTCCTTTCTTTTTATCTTTTTCCTGTGTTAAAAAAAAAGACACAGTTCCATGGAAGAGTGAGTGAATCAGTCTGCATGGAACCACCAGGTTTCAAATTCAACGATGAAAACTACTCAGTCGCACCACATGCTTACAACATACCTTTTCTTCTTCGATTTCAATGGCCTCATGATCATCAAATGGCGTTACTGCAGAAGAGTTCTTCCATTCCCAAGCAGAAAGTATTAGTTGGCGGACTTCTGCATTTAAGAGAACGTAAAACAGGAAGAAAGCAACTCCCTGTTGACAGAACAGATAGGAAGTGTCCTTTAAATAATTTTGGCATCTGAGTCACATTTTTTTTTCCTCTTATTATGAAGCTCGCCTTTTGAGTAAGCTTTCAACTAATTGTGTCATGTTCTGCTTACCATTTCATAACAAAAGAATACAGCAGTAAAATAACCTTTACGATTTGTGATACTAAATTTACATCAGTAATGAGACTCGGCGTGTGGCAGCAATAAGCCTGTGTGAACTACTTTGTTTAGGATGTTTGAATGAAACATCCGGCTTACGTTCATCAAAAATTGGCAAGTATTTAATTTTTCGTGTGTACAAATCTCTTACCTGCATTGCGTTGAATATGGAGAAAAAGGTGTGATAGACATCTCGATCGATGTTCAAAGACAATGATCCCAGAAGCCAAGTTAGAACAACTGAGATGGTTATGCAAACCACAGTTTGAATTCCAGACCTGTTGAAGATGTCACATGTACAGTATTGCTTTTAATAAGTGTGCAATGGATGAGTAACGATAAGGTAAAAGCTGTTTGAAGATTTGCTCAAGTTTTGTCACAAATGAGAATATTAGTTGGACATATTGATTGGTTTCTGGATGCCTTTCTACACTAAACAGGTTAACAGATGATAGTTAACATCAACGACTGGTTTCCACTAGGAAACATATATAGCACAGGATTGTCAAGGTAATCAAATACTTGTGAAATATTTCTGAAAAGCCTCACTTGATTATGTTTTTCTTGTAATCATTTTCCTCCGTTTTATCGGACTTACGATAGGTGACTAAAGCTTTAGCCAATAAGATTATTAGTATGACTTGTACCTGAAAAGGGAAATAACATGTCAATGAGTTTTATCTTTGAGAGTTTGACGTTTATATTGGTTCAAACCAGAGGGCAAATTATCCTTTGCTAAGATATCTTGCTCTAATGATCATCCAATTTTCGAAGTCTAATGTCGCATCAAAACTCTCACGAAAAAGGATATCTTTGCCACCTCTCTTGGCCTGCATAAATCGAAGGTTCTCTTCCTTGATATTGTTCTATTTGCTTAGTGATCTTAGCAGTAAAATAAGACTTTTTTCTGTGAATCTATCTTATTTAATTCTTAAGATATGCCGTGCAGGTTATCTTGAGGTCATTCGACATTCCACGACAATTCAAAAGTTCATTATACGATACGTTTCCTGCTCACTCTCTGCTTGAATAGCCATAAGTTCTCAGCATTGTTAGTTACGTCATAGAGATAAGTATTCGCCATCAGTAGCCTGTTCCAAGATGCGTGAATCATTACGTAAATTGCATAATGACCGCCGATACGAGAAGAGTATGCAATATAGTGACTTTAACCCTCCCCCCAAAAAAACACAGGCAGAGTCATATTTGCTATCAACACAATATTATGGGATTGTCGATTTCTTACCGGTACAATTTGAAGTTGTATAGAAATTAAGGCAAAAGAAGAAGAAAAAATTAAGTCAAATATCCGTAATGGCTTCCTCATGAGGTTCTACACTCACCATTCCTAACGTAATTATGGGCGTCGCTACTGACCAGCTTACAGTATCAGCGAATGAAATCCAACAACTGAAAAAGAAAGAGGAACGTAACGCAATGAAAAATGGTGCGGGCCCATTGAAGAATAATCATATTATGTTACTGCTATTTTAATGATATTCCCCAATTTTTGTACTAACTTTCTAACAAAGGATAAAGCAATAGGAGAAGCAAAGATTATGGTCACAGGACGAGTAGCTCTTGAGTTAACTGACTGATCACTCACTGTGGGTGCTTGCTGTATGTCTCGTACTTGGAGGCAAGAAAAAATACAGCAAAAAGTGGCAAACCTGAAACAAAAATGAAGGTTCTTAAGCGTTAGCAGGCGTTTTCCGAGGAAACTCCTTTAGAAGTAGATTTGTGTTACAACAATCTAGAAAAAAATAAAAATCAAGGGCAATATCTGAGAACTATCACCAACAAAAACTACATATGACAACCATGACACGGCACTGCAGCTACAGCAGTAAACGGTAACGGTTGAAATAGAGCCCATTGAAATCATCAACCGATTTACTGCTGCAGTAGCACCAACATCAAGAGTTTACCACAACCACCCCCTTTTTAACCAACCGCAGTTATAACCACAACTATCACCAACCGACTAACAGCGCCTCCACCAAAACCCATAACTACAGCTAAAGACAAAATCGGCACCATATTGGCAAGTGACAAGACGGATTTCCAAGATGTATCTTAAATAATTTGGGTAGCTTCCAGCAACTGTTCATCGTGTTAGATTTGCCAAATCTTATTTAACACGCACATATCTCACTGTGTTATTTTCTGCTACTTTCACTCACCCCATGCTCCTCCGAAATAGAGTTTTTTTTTCATGTGCTGTTTTTCTTCGCTTTCACGTGCTCTTGTAAAGTTGAATAGGTAGAGAGCTTGAACAATTAGCCAACAAAGAGTCACAAGAGAAAGGTAGTTCATGGTGATGGCCACAACCGCACAAGTAATCTGTAAACAGCAAGGGTCATTTAGAAAGTTGCACTTTTGGTGTGATTGAAAAATATCTGAATTTGAAAAATTAATGACTAACCATCTCAAACATTAGAAAAATAAATGATTGTTTAAGACGGAGACAAAAACCCGAAGCTCATCAAAATGAATTGTCAATTGGCGAGCCAAACTCTATTATCTTTGGAAACACTATTCCATCCAAAAAGGATGTTCTGTCACATTTGGCTCATTGCTCGCAATTTTCCGCGGCCCCACGGGGCTCGGAAAAAATACTACGCAACTCAGCTCGCAAAATATACACCCATATTATATGTTTAACTATCAAATAAGGTGTAGAAAACTGCGAAGAGACTATGTTGTTTACTAAAGCGAAAACGTACCTTGTCGTCTCTGGCATCAGCTCCAAGTATAAATAAAAGTTGTGATAATAATACGCAAAACGTCTGACTCATCTGCATATCCCGCTCAAAACGACTGTCCCTTTGGGTAAAAAGGAACTTTGTATTTTAAATTCAGTTATGAGAATATATACAATGTATTTCATAAAAGTACCAAACTGTAAAGTAAATGTGTTGTGGGTTGGTTTCCTTTTCAAATTACTTAGGTATAGCAAAAAATAATAAACCTAGAGCTGAAAAACCAAATATTTTCTATGAGATTGATGATAAGCTAGAAGAGAAAATACGCGGGGTAATACTGTTTAAGTTCAGTAGGTTTCTTTTTTTTTTTACAGTAAACAGTGCAAACTCTGTCGTGGGATCTGGGAATGATCACATGCACCGAGCACATGATTGGATAAAACTGATAATTGAATAAATCACGTCACATCATCCGCCTTTTTAAAAATACAACAATATTTTTCTTTACCTCATTTCTTGGCGATGCATATCATCCTGCCTCATTTCGTCGTTTGCTCCTTTTTCCTTACTTTCACCTTTTAGTATGAGATAAGTAAAACAAGGACACATAACCGCTAAGATTTTACGCTTAGTAAGTTTTGAATTTAACCGGGACAAGAGACTGACTTTTTCTTTCTCGCCGTTCCGAATATGCTCTCCAGTTTCATCTTTCGTCGTTTCTCGTCTTTCATTTTTTTCCAATTCGGAAAGGTCTTCAGCCTCAGAGGACTTCTTTACTTTGTTGTGTGATAATGACGGTAGCCACTGAAAACAACAGGTTGTTCCTGTCTCTGTGTCCATTTCTTGGATAAGTTTTGACTTTTTCGAATGTTGCACTGAGCCGTCATCAGCGGTAACTCCATTGGTATCAATTTTAGGGTCATCATCCGAACATTTACTTTTGTCTTTAAACTTATTTTGTGCAACAGAATCCGTTTGCTTGGCTTTGGCATTTCTTGTGTCGCCTATACCTGTTAATAATAAGTCACAGTTTCGTTTCATCGCATCTAAACCCATTTTTCTGACCTTGTCTTGGCCATATGATATCTTTCCCTCTTGAAATTTTGATTGGAACACGGACACTGAAACGTTCGTACTCGTAACTTGTCTTTCCAATCGCGATTTATCCCATTGTTGGGAAGTGCCTCTTCTCTGAAATGTTGATGTCTCTGTTGTCTCTGTAAATGTGTCTTTCCTTTGTAAATCATAAATCATGGAAGAAACCAAACTGACTTTACGCGTGCGCGGATCTTCGTTTAAGCATGACGAATTCTGTTGTATCATTTGTTCTTCTCGCACTTCAACAACGCAGCTTTTTCCTTGTCCTGTGCTGTGAAAATTACCGCGTTTGAATTTCTCTGATTTTGTTAATTCAGCATCTGTTTCTTTCTTTGTGGATCCTCTAGATGAATTACTTTGTAGATCATCAATTTCCATTAAAGGAGTAAGACTGGACCGATTTTTGGTGTTTGGCTGTATTTCGTCATCTTCTTGAAACCCTTGGTTAACGGTTGAATTACAATTTCTGTCTGTCGCTGTCTCGCATTCTTTCCTTTTTTTCTTTTTGATTTTGGCTGAACTTTTGACTTCAAATTCCTTTGCGCATCTGCAATAAGAAGTATCCTTAATCAATGTACAATGACTCGCCATACAGAATCATCCTCATTTCAATTGTGAGTACCCTTTCATGAGGCTTATTTTGCCTTCGAATCTAGAGGACGGCGTTCGACCTTTGACCAGATGATTAGTTTGAGTTCTTGGAAGAAACAGTTTTTCTTAACCACTGAGTACTTACGACAATGTGACAACGGCAGCTACTGTCGCTGCTGTTCCTACGGCTGCTGCAGCTGCTCCTGCGTAGACCCGCTTGGGAATGGGGAAAGTAGTGTCATTTCTTGAAGTGTCTACTGTGATGTTCTGATTGGACAAATCAAATGAACAAAAAGAAAAAATCAGGAAACAGAGAAACGCACACATGCAAGAGATTAGCAACTATTTATAATCTCGACACACGTAGGCAATACTTAAGTTGATGAGAGTGAGATCACGTATGGCAATAACTGAATTACTCAGAGGTTAGGCATGGCCTCCATAGGTTTCGCTGTTCATGCGTTTAAAGAAATGATACCAAGAGGTGGCTGAAATTTGAAAGAGGAAATCAAAAGTGATTTACCAATTTTTCCTTTGTCCTAATAAGATCCTTGAACAGCGTTAAATTGAACGTATTAGTCTTATTGATTCCCTCTAACGAAACATAAAACCATCTGGTGGAGCACATCTTCACATAAATGACCATTCCTTCTTCAATGAACTCATCCTTTGAAACAAAACGAGGCTTGGTACATCCTCCGTCAGAGGTAGCATTACAAAAGGTGTCTTTTTGAAGCTCTTCTAATTTCCAGAGTCTACTTATATCGGAAAGTTTATTGTCTTCATGCGGTTCACACGATCCCAGGTTAATGCGATTGTTTCGGGGATTCCTGTTGCTTGTTGAAACCGCAATATCGGCTTGACCAAGTGTTGTCTTTAGAAATAGGGTTTTGATTCTCGTCTTGTTGAATAAGTCGTATTTGAAATATCTTACTGCATTTTCGTTTATACTTGAACCAACTTCTTTTCCTTCATCGAGCAATGCGGGCTCTGATCATGAAAAGCAAAAAATAAAATGATTGGAAATGAGAAATGCTAGTGATCTGAAGTGTTTGACAATGCTGTTACTTCTAAGTTCTAAATGAAGGAATTAATATGAAAGAATACCTGAGACTGAGATATAATTACATCGTAAATATTTCAGGGATATCCTGTTTGCAATGCACAACTCACGGAACAGGAAACGCGAGGAATTTACGAAGCATTACACGGTTCAGGATAGAGCAGTTTACAGCTGTTACGAGAGAGGTTGTTGGAAATGAGGGCAAAAGTGCAAGCGGCAATCTTGAAAGATAACTTGGCTATCCAGTAATCGATGACTTTTAACACATATCGACAGATAAATTAAGCAAACCTAAGATGCCTCGTCGTTACAGCAACATTTTCCCAAGTTTCCTTGAAATCCTGAGGTCCAGGAACTGTGACCTGAAAACTACCCAAATAACTTTCGGGATAATCGTGTTCACTTTTACGCTTTTTTTTCCTTTTTCGAAAAAGCTGTTTACTGCACTTAACATGCTCCACAACATGCTGTATACTATTATAGCGTAAATAAAAATGAATCACCGTAACATGAGGCTTCTTGAATGTTTTCTACCAAAGTGTTTATCTCTTCAAAGGACTTGGGAAGAATCACATGATCAGAGTCAGGATCACTAGCAATAATGTCTAACTCATCCTTGTTTATCCTTGGGCCGATCCCTATCACAAAGATGTTAACTCCTTCATTTCGGAGTAAGTTAGAGGGCTGGATGATGCTGTCCGTTCCTGAGGAAGTTCTTCCGTCGGTGAGAAGAACAAGCACTCTTGGCACACCTAATTCTTTGGGTCTCACACCATTGTCGGGGTTTTCAAACAGCTTTGTGTAAGCTTCTGAGAGTGCTAAGTCAGTGCGTGTGCCACCACCTTGATATTGTATCGCTGCTATTGCATTAAGGACGTCTTGCTTTCTTATGAAGGTGTTAAAGTGAAATATTATCGTTGGAGAGTTGGTGTATGTGATAACAGCCACTCGAGTGCCAAGAGGGTAAGAGATGTCGAAATACTGGCACACCTTTATGATAAACTGGAGTCCAATTTGAAAATTTGTGGGGTTGACGCTACCAGAAGAATCCAATACAAACACCAAATCGATTGCATTTTGACAATCTAAGAGAAAAGATGAAAATTATACAAAATTGGAGAGTTTTTAGATTCTATGCTTCCTTCCTCTCTGTTTCTGACATGTACATATATTTTAAAGCACACTCAGTCGAGTACAGCTATACACTAAGGATCGGGGCCATAAAATAAATGCTTGTATCCTGATTCAAAGAGAAGATTTTTTACTTAAAGTTCTCTTGAATTCAATGAAACTTGACTAACAAATTACCGAGGGGATGGGAGAATCCGGGTCACTGCTGTGCACGTAATTTCTGTGCCGTAAGGGAAAAGATTACCTTTTTCCACTGTGTGGTTCTAGTATTTTCTTTCAAAAACAAAGCGGTATTGAGGGCCTAAAGACATGCAAGATGGCATCACGTTGTGGCGCATTCTCGATAAGCGAGAGGTATATCACTTGATATCAATATTGCTATAATATGGCTATAAAATTATGTAAATCATCATTACCAAGACAGCAGGTGATAGGCGACGGTGTCAGACAACCACTAGCAGAATATTCACCCTTACAGCTTTTTACTAATTTGCAACGGCCATTTCTGTTGTCTACTGTACATCTTGGTCCGTTCCCTTCCGGTGGACATGGAATATCAACTACCTATAAATGGGAGGAGAGCAGTAGAAAAAGTTTTTGTGGCAGAAATACAACTTAAAACAGCATGAGCGGTTGACACATTTAATCGTAATCTTACCTTGAGCGCATGCCTCCAATATCTAAATAGACTTTCAATCCCATTGTTACTTTCCTGAATTTTCATGGATAACTCCGCAAAGCTGTATTCAGTTCCATTGTAGAGTTTTCTTAAACCTCCGGTGGGCAAGCTGCTGTTATCAGCTGAGCTATAACCATTCAACCAAAGCCATGCCGCGACCCTAAATCCAACAGATGGCAACGCAACCATTTCTGGCTTTTCTGTAGAGAAATATGGGGAATATTATAACCTGAAATTAGACTTACAATACACTGCAGTACACTTCATTGGTATCAATAAATAAACTTATTGGCTTCACCAGCATTTTTTTCGAACTTACGTGTGATTTCTATATCGAGTGAAGTTTTCACAAGTTGATACATGTGTTTTCCTATCAGAGGAAGGAATCCTCTACTTATGTATTTGCGGGCATCAGATGCTCTGGTATTTCCCAAGCTTTCTTTTCCTTTATACTTCTCTCCATCGGAATTTTCCTCTGAATATAGCATTCCTGATGTCTGATACAATATCTAGGTAAGATCAAGAACAAGAAATGCGTCAGGTCAACGTCGGCAAAAAATGGGCAACGCAAACGTCATTTATAAAGAGATGCAACTTCAAACTCTACATTGAACTATCTCGCTACATTGTACTGATGGCATGCCATTCGACGATACCCATAAAACAGGAGACATCCTACACTGTGGATATCTACAACAATAAATTTCTTCAAGGAGTTAGCGTGAAGGGTTTTGGAACTCATGTATTCAATTTTTTTGAGCCAGAAGAAATAAGCGCAAGATCTAAGAGAATTCTCTAATGTTCTGTTTGTTTCCATTAAACATACTTGAGCAGTGAAGGCTGCTATTTCATGTTTACTTGACATGTTAGCAATATTCAACGCTTCCATGTAAAACGGATACAATGCTCTTGTCCTTGTGGTCTCTCCAACCAAGTTAAGATACGCTTCAAAAGACACATTGATATTTTGTGGGACTGATGGGACAAGTGTAGTATCCAAGATACAGCAAACCAGCTTCTGATCGTTAAGGGTTGAATTTCTTAGGGTGGCTCCCGGGCAGTCTCTGGCTTCCATGTAGTAACCGGTAAAATATGGAGGGTAGTTTGATGAGCACTTCAGGCAGCTGACATGTTCTGCAAAGAGTAGGGTACGATTTTTTTTTCATAATTTCCACCAATTATTTCTATTTTGGTTTCAATAAGGCTATTCACGGCCATTCTAGTGTAACAGGGAACTTGACCTTCATGACATCATTGTCATTTAAAAATGCAAGCCATCGTTAATATGACATATGCGGTATACGTGTTTAATTTGTCATCATTGCTGTTTACTCTAGACAGTGCATTACAACTGATTTCTAAACAGTCCCAATGACAAACAAATGTACTGAGCGTGAACTGGTTAAGTAATTCAGCAATTGAGAATTTGAAAAAAAAGTAACACGGCGTTTTGATCATTGATTGATCCGTTAGATATCAACAAAATCCAAAGAAAGAAAAATTCAGTGGAGACTCCTTCATATTTACTTATTTATCTATTTTTCGAGCACAGTTTTCAAAACATTGACATCGACAACCCTAAAGTCAGCTAACCTTGATGCTCGAGCTCTAACTGAGGGTTCACAAATATACAATCACGCTATTGTCCGTCTTGCAATTTACTTGAACAACCCCCTTCTGAAACAGCAGGGGTTGCCTTTTGTTGTGAGCAGATTTTTTGCAATGTGCGTAAATCAAACAGATTTTGACATAATCCTAACAGGAAAAAAAAACTGAAAACAATTCAAGTAGTCGCTGAGTCATGATTGGAATAGCAAAATTTCATCCATTTTATGCTTATTTTCTCATAACTCTCCCAAGAAAAGATGATAGTAGTTAGCAGGAGACCATAAAATAATGAATCAAATGTAATAATAACAGATAAGATGTAAAACATAACCCCCAGAAGTAAATTCTAAACTTATGCGAACAAGTAGCTCAGTAAATTCACAAGGGTAATGCTTTTCCTTTCAATTTGGTTATGTAAGGGCAGAATTTAAAATCAGAATTCAATCGCAATTTTTGTGTGGTTGTGTGTGAATGTACCACGTATATGGAACTTTAAAGTAAACTTACCTAATAAAAACGACAGCACTAGAGCTTGAATAACAGGTCTTCTCGCCATCTTTATCAAGCAATTCTGCTTTGGCCTATTTTTGATGCACAGGAGAGAAAATAAACACAAAGAACACTAAAGAAAGCATAAAACAAACCATCAATGTAAGAATACAATCAGTACATTCAAATCACAGCTGATATTATCTATTTGATTTTTCCTTGTCTTCAAAATGCCAGCCTCATCAAAGAATTAAATATCACCTGACTAGCCGCTGTTATGGTTTCTTTGCGCAAACGTTGGAAAACACATTTTTTAGCTCAAACTTCCCGTCATTAAAGGTATTTAGGAAATGCCTAAATTAGGATTCTATTTTAGACATGATCACTTGGAAATAATCCGAGAACATTCAATGAATGGCCCCCACCACGCTTATTACAAAGTAGCCCAGTAGTAAACTTATGAAGGGCATTGTTTATCAATAGACTGATGAAGATTAATCTTTTAAGATCTCTTAAATACATAAATATGTCATAACAATTTCTTTTTTTTTAGTTTTTGTCTGAAAAATTGAATTAAGAAGTTTTATATTAACATAACAAAGGTGTGTGGGTCTTTATCTTAGAGTAAGGGAAGGGTCAAAAATGCCAATGTTGTTCCTTTCAGAATCTTCATCCACATGTATCTTCAGATAGACAAAGCTCGGACTTTAACGGTTAATAAAATGCGTTTCTCCAACATAAGTAGTTGACAGTTTCGATTATTTATAAAAAAAAAAAATAAAAAAAAGTGAGTGAGCAAGTAATAAAAATGACGAAAAAAAGCGAGAATACCTTAATAAAATTTATAAGTTAAAATATGAAATAAGTGTTCTATTCTTGGCTGGTGACGCGCACTTCTAATGACGTGTGTAGCATTGTTGCAACCACATGAGCACCAGCCCTCGCGTTACTATTGTCTCTGGGTTGTCTTAGTGGCCATTTGCTGAAGTGCTCAAACTTGAATTCGTGGGGCCTTAAGAAACTGCGTCATCCAAGTGCTCAAAGACATAACGTGTTTCTCTCGAATCTCTCGCGCTGCTTTCGCGAGTTGTCATTACGAGCTTAACTGTTATTGGTTGAATATCTGATCCGCTAAACCCAATGTCGGCAAAATTAAGGACACATGTTCTTGTTTGTTCTTTCTTGATCCTCGGTTTCGTTCCCATTGTTTTATTCAGTTTTCACACTTCGTATATCTCATATTTTCATTATAGCATAACCAGTTGCCAAGACCACAAGTGTGACACAGAGATCATGAAATAAGTGTGGTTTGCTAGACTTCTATGTTAACAGAAATTAGCGACAAGAGGTCTACATAATGACCATAAAGAGAGAGGAGTTAGTCTCTGACGTAAAGGATAATTTCACAATAGAGTCACAGTGTGTCTATAAAAGCATGCCTTAGAAAACAGCCTAGAATAAAGAACATGAAGCATGACTTTGATGTTAATTGAATAAGTCAAAGTTACCTGAATGTCGCGGTGATGATTGGTCAACACAGTTCAGGTTTTTGATCATTTGTGATGCCTCTTAAGTCATGACGCTGACTTAAAGAATGATTCAAAAACTAAAATGGACGTACATTTACTCTAAACTCTCCAAAGGTTGTTTTGGATTTGATTCAAATCGAGGTAGTCATTAGGAACCAGTCAGAAAAAGCGCCTTGAGACCATAGAAAACCAAACTCCCATGGGTGACTTGCTACTAGTTATCACCTTCACATTGAATTTTGCCATGGTAATTAGTCGTTTTGTTCATTGTGCTGAAGGAAACAAAGCGCTTTTTTAAATCCTTCAATGGTAACTTTGGAGTCAGTGAGCAAATACATTAATAAAAATAATAGCCGGTTTTAAGGTGCAAATCCTTGTCTTGACATTCCATGAACACACAGACAAAGCCATTAAACTAAGCACAACAGAATCGGTCACTGTCTTTGGGTCAAAAATTGTTTTTCCTATTAAGGTTACCCACAAGAGACAAACCTTTTATCCATATCAACCCGATTTCTTTTAAGATAAAATATATTCAGCGAGAACTTTTTTGGCATCATTCGGACGTGCGGTGCCTGTTGCCAGAGATAGCTTCACGCGGGGCCCTTCACGACGAGTCCTTCACTATGAATTTCGAAGTGGCATTGCCAGTACTTTGATTCACTTGGTAATTTAGTATTATCAACCAAGTTGATAACGTAAATTGGCCACCGTGAAGAGTTTAAAAGCTAACGTTTCGGGCAGAGCGATTGGTTGACCTTGGTGTGCATTTTATTTTAATTTTTTAAGCACCCAGACAAGGATATGTGGAATTTTTAGATTATGTTAGAAATCCATCTCTTCCAAACAATGTTATTAATTGGGGTTTCGAAATCCGAGCTTAGTCTTTTGACCGCCTGTCAGATAGAAAACCTTTGAAGGCTACATCAGGTCCTTCTGGATACCTCCACCAGACCATGAAAACGTTAATGGAGCGAGCCTTACTGCGAGGGCTTTTTCAATAAAATGCTACTGAACCTTCCTTGCACTCAACATTTGGCCAAGGTGGTTCGGATTTCTATTCCTTCTTTGGGTTAAAAAACCGGCCTCTTTCCCGCCTTTCCGGCTTTTTGATTGTAGAAAATGTGCTGCGTTTATCCTTGATAGTCACGCCACCTGACAAAGCTAAGGGCGCGGAGTTATTTCACAGCAAGCTATAAATACCTCTTAGAGTTGAACTGCACCATTTACATCATGCATGGAACGAAGCGGTTTATTAGAATGTTACAATTTTTTTGCACTAAACCAGACAGTCAGCTGATGAAGTTCAAGTATTTTTGTAGACAATTTCATCATTGGTAGAAATGAAAAAATTCAAACTATACATGAGTGATAATGTCATTCCTGCGGTCTTGATTGTAAAAAGAAAATGTGTGCGTGGTTCAGGACTATCTGTTCTGCCTTAGCGTCCAACGGCAGTTTTTTCACAGTTCCCGGACCAAAGTTGCCTTCGTGGGTAGGTTCTGCCCCACAGCTGGTTATGGATAATTATTTTACCACTGTAAGAGTACAGTTTAATGAACTTATTCAAGTCTCCTCTTGTAGAGGTTCGATCGCTGTGTTAAGCTTTCCTTTGCTCCCCTGTTTTAAGTTTTTGTTTGTGATTCTTTTCTGCTTTCGTTTGGCATTTTCTGGAACCGTGACTGGAGGAAGTTTTATTCGTTTAGGCCCTGGATCGTGTTCAGTCTTGGAAAGCCAAGCGGGTGATGAGTTTTCCATCGAAAGACCCTTGTTTGCGTCATCCGTTGAAACAGGTACTCGGTCGTTCGCGTTTTGAGAAGCATCATTGCCGTTTTCTTTAGGTAGAAGTTTAGATTTGCAATTACCACTGCCGGTTGCGAGCTTCCTGTTGCTGGCATCATCAGAAACAGACATCATATTCACATCCTTTAAAATACACATCAAGGAAAATTAAGTAAGTAATGATAAATTATGCTGAGGATGCCCTTTGATGTACGACATAGAAAAAATCTTAAAATTGAGGTTTGAGAAAACGTGCGCATCCTTAGACTTTACCTGAGATAAAATGTTGCCAATGCTAGATATTCCACTAACCGGTCCTTTTAACTGTGCGCAGAAATTTAAAGCCTTGACTGGTCCTACCCCCTTAAAAAAACATAGCTACACCCCTGATTTCACTGATATTTTCATAAGAACAGTTACCGATAGCGTAGTTCCGTGAGATGTTGAAGCTGCAACGGCAGAAGAGGGTGTGGTCGTTGAAGGCGAGAAGAGGGTTGTTCGACGGCTAGACCATATTTCTTTCTTCCGTTGTATAACCTTGCGAACCTAAAGGATAAAAGGATGGTAAAGAGCAGAAACGATTGAGTTTTGAGCTGTGATGGGATCTTTAACGCCTCAGGTATGAGTTTAAGTACGCATATGTATATAGATTGAAGTAACTATTCTGATCCTCTGTGGAGAGGAAATTATATGCGTCCATTTCACCGTTATTTGAACTAAAGTTGAACGCTCTACTTAAATCTCCACCGCTTAAGCGGAAAGCATAGTATGTCAAAACGGTGTATCTAGCCTTTTTGGGATTTTTTTTCTGAACAAACTGCTTTTCATTCTTCTCACTGGACACCATCCGCTTTAGTCGTATGTTTTCTTTTGTAAGTGGCCCCATGAGTGAATGATAAAAGATATGTAGTGCATTTTCTTACCTCTGAATTAAGTAGACAGTGAAACACGAAAATGAAGAAACCTTGCAGTGAATTACAAAGAGCAAACAGGTACTGAAACGTTATCGTGTTCCTGTCCAACGCCAAAATACCAAACAACCAGGTTACACCCAGTAAAGGAAAAAGAACGACCGTTGACTTGAAACCAGATCTGATGATGTCAATATGGAAGGAATTAATTAATAATAATCGATCATTGCGGCAATGAATTGTCTGGGTAAGAAAAGACGTTTCACTATGGCATCAATTATGAATGATGGTGAAAAACTTAGGTTGCTTACTTGATAAGATCAAATTTTGTCGAGTGAGAGACTCCATTTGTTTGTACCTTGATGATCTCTCTTATCACCATGATAAGGATTACGGCGTTCACCTGAAAGCGAAATGGCCATGGAATGTTATAGTTTATCGTCTTACGAAAATAATTCTCTGTGGAAATTAAAAAGGTAGCTGGCTAACAATTTGGTTCGACAGAGTTGAGATAACTCAACATGGCGAATCTTCTGTCGTTCCTCACGCCTAGCTTGTGAAGAGAAATACTAAGAGGCAAACGACGGAAAGGAAGCAGCTTTAGCTTTCTAAGTGACCACACATCTCTAAGTGGAATAATTCAGCTATCCTACTCACCAAGATTATTGCCAGTGCTGGTCCCACAAAGGCGTATATAACGCCTTTCGCCGTAGACAGCCAACAGCTAAGAACATTGAGAATATATGATCATTTAACAAAATGATGGGACAAAGCATCCAGATTGTTTCGTTGCCATCTTTTTACATCATGTTCAAGTATTGACAACCACTTTTTTTCATTTGGTAATATTTTTGCGATAAAAGGACACACTACTAACGTTTGAACTGTAGACGAGGCTTTGAAAACAATGCTCAACGGGGTCACTTACACTAGAATTAGACAAGCTTTCAAATGTACCTATTGGCCGAGACAAAACGCTGCATCATACCGTACCACTCATTCTTCACAAGTAAAGTATCCGACAATTCTTTTATTGCGTATATTTATTTTCTAACGAGAGCAGAAAAAGGTAATGAACCGTATAAATTACCTTAAATCTGTGCCGTAACCATCATGCGCCACAATTGCTGAAATAAGAACTATTATTCCTGGCAGACCTAGTAGATAAAATAAAAACGTCAGATCTTCTGATAACATTTAATGATGTCTGACTGATGGGAAGCTGAATGCCATAAATATAGAGCTTACCTACCATATGAGCATGTTCCGAAAATGCGTAGTTGTTCTTTGTTGTTTTCAAAGACAGTTATGACCATTAAGTAAAGGTACACGCCTTCCACTAACATCCACGAAAATGACACCAACAAGAAATAGTGAAGTAATACAGCTACCACAGTGCAGGCGATCTGCAACAGAATTACATCAATCAGTTCATATTTATATTCATTGAATTTGTAAATAGAGAAATATAAACGTCTAGGCAATTTCATTTCTCAGCGAGAAGATTATGGTTATATTTAGGGTCAGCTTTGAGTAATAAAAAAGCCGATTGTAAATAACAGATGCATTTATGTAAGTATTAATTTAAGCTCCATTAAGTATTGTGTATTTTTATGCGAGTATTCAACCCACCTCGTTGCTAGTTGCTTCAATTCCTGCCAGGAAAATTATTTGAAATGTACCAATAGACAGAGACAGGTTTAAATGAATAAGGTTTCTCTCAGAGCGCAGACCCCTGTGGTAATGAAAATAATCAAAGTTCCCTCACGCCTTTTGCTTTTTAGTTTGAATATCACGAGACAAAAGAAGAACAGAAAAAAATAAATGAAGAAACTACATATTTCGGATGGTCTAAATATCTTTAGACGCGAACGACAATCTTCTGGCACAGGATCACATAGGAGCCCGCAAATTGAAATTCGACAACAAGAATGGAGTAAGAGAGAGTTCAGACAACCAATAACAATGGCGATGACTGACGACGACGACGAAGGATCATAAATTGAGAACAGCGATGGATTCTTCCTTTCATATTTCACACTCAAAGCACATGTCTTAATCTGATTTTTCCTTTAAAAAATTCTTTCATTATTAACACTGAAGAAATATTTTGAATGAAGCAGATTTCAAAGCAGACACGGGCCAACGGAAAAAAGAAAGACAACGGCACGTACGAAAAAGCAGCGATTATGAAGACCGTGAGAGTGACGCCAATCAGGGAAAGTCCACAGCCCACGTAAGTGATGATCTGCAATGCTATTTTATGGGACTTATCCACCTGAAAAGGAATGAATGTTCCTCAATATGTATCAGAGATAGAAGGGGCGTTAGATAAAACAGTAAATGAAGAGCAACTCTCATAGTTTCAGCCTGCTATTATGGGCTACTGTATCACGTCAGGAACACCTTTCTCATGGCAAAATGGATAATATCCTGTAGACCCATAAAATAAGGGTCACGTGAACGCAACACCGAACAAGAAAGAAGTTTTCGTTCATGGATAGTTAAAATGGAAGCGTCTCAAAGTTGAGATGTGTTCGTGTTTAATGTTTCTGTCTTGATTATCCACATCGTCGCCTCGAGATAACAAGCTATCGAAGATAAAATAACTTCTTCGCCATCACTACCTCTAAGTCTGAATCCGACTGAACCTGCATCAACACTGCAAAATTGGTGAGATGATTACATTTGCATGTGGAGTGAGTCTCATTCGAAGTAGCTTCGTCTACTTGGCATCCTTTAGTCGACCAGAAACCACTTCCATTTACACCCCTACAGGTATCGTGAGAACAATGCAATAAGACTAAAGTCGAAGTTGTTTCATTCATTTGGAGCTTTTTTAGCTCTCTCTTTATCAGTAGTTTTTCTTTTTCTTTTTTTCAGCGTTTTAACCGAGGAGATTAATTGGAAGGGGTATATGTTATTCCTGATTGGTTTTAAAGAACTAATTAAATAGAAAAAATCATTGGTACATTTTAAATGGAACGACGCCTTTGATACAGACATGGTGATACCTTTTGAACTGATACTAAAAGAGATAAGGTTAGGCAGCTCTAAATTGTATGTTGGAAACACTTTCCATACATGCCTATATCAAAGGAAAAATTGTGGAAGTGTTATGTAACATGGCTAATTTAGGTCCGACTCTATTTGGCGGATTCTTCTTTTTCAGATTGGATATTAAGCTCAGAAACAATTTCCTTGTTAACATCAGAACATCTTTGCTCTACAGCCTAAATCTGACTTGGTACTCACGCAGCAGCGAAGTCCCACCACACACAAACTGGCGTAAGAGAGGCATTCGATTTGTGCTGTAAAAAAAATTTCCATTAAAAAGAAAAGGAAAGAATGAAGGACCTGTCAATGAATCAATCCAAGATCTTTATTTCATTTTGAGTAATGGTCCACAAAAGAAGTAGGCATAAAAAACAATAGGCCTGACCCAAAAACGGCCGCTAAAAATCGAGGTGTTAGTCCTCTATACAGCAACAATCTTACCTTAAGATGTTGAAAAGTGACCCGAACCTCTAAAGTTTGACTATCAGCTGGCGGGTAGATAAGGCTACTTATTATTCGGCTGTTAAGTTCAAGATACTTCTCTTCAAAGGCTTGCTTCCTACAAGTTAGGAGAAAAAAACAACAACAAAAGAGCTTTCCGAAAGTATTAATCATTATGAGAAACAATTGTATCTTCGCCAGTTCTCTGACAGGCTTGTGCAGTAACTATGCTCACATGATTTGTTTCTCAGTAGTAAAGAGGTCTCTCAGCCAATGATAGTGAGAAAAACAATTGAGGGAAAAGGTTCAGCGATAACAAAGAAGCGAAGCAAGAGAGATAAACGCTTATTTTACTTACTCTATGATTTTCTCGGGATTTGATGGCAAGAACTCATGCAAATTCTTGTAAATGACGCTAAAAACTTTCGTTTTGTTGTCTGGTCTCCCTTCTGCAAAAATAAGAAAAAATAAAGACGACGTGTATGCTCATGGCCCAAATTCACGAAATAAGCGGGAGTGCGATCTTACTTATTTAACTTACTTGTTATTTTTAAAGCCAAGATATCTTTGATCCCTCTCCAGTTGACGTCAAACTCAGCCACTGAGAATTTGTAGCTGTTGGACGGCAACACTGATGCCTGGAGAGCTAATGCAGACAATAGTCATTTAATCACGTATCGTAGTAACGAAATTTTCTGGCCATAAGCGATTACCAAATTTTCTTTGCTATGGTGCTACCTTGCAAGCACCGGTATTGAAGAAATGCTCGTTGCCCAGCAGCTCACTGCATACTGAGGGCTCAATGTCATAAATAAATATAGGACAAAGGACAAAAGGGACATGTAGATGATAAATTCACTCACCAATGTTAGCATCCAATGAGACCATACCAGATGTATCGTTTGACCATTTGTGAGCCAGTTCTTTGCCAAATGTTTCTGTGATTTCAGCAATTTCCATAGCTGACGTCATGTTAGACACACGCCATTCCTCTTTCTTTGAGTCCTCTAGAATTCTGTTTATAATTTTAGTGCTTTCCTGCATTCCAAGAAAAGGGAATAAATGAAATTCTGCTCAGGCACATCTACCGAATTGGCTAAGAATCATCAAAACTTGAATTATCCCTTGGGTCACCCGCTAAGTAAAATCATTTCTAACTCTCTTTGTTGCAAACTTTTGATATCTAATGCAATTTTTTGGTTTGATATGCTGTGCTGGTTACAAAGCGTGAGAAGTTGAAAATATATGTTGGAGCCGATCAGTCAAATCGAAAGCAAAGCGAAGAATTGATGGTATTGTTTTTTCCCATTTTCTGAAGAAGAGATGTTTCCAAGACTTTGAATTAGAAATGTTAGGGGCGAATGAGGAGTTGTTGGGTCTCAAGAAACTCTCGGAACGTCTGCACTTCGTAGTATACTAAGCAATCAGTCCATTTCGATCCCTTTCCTCTGTGATATACGCGAACATTTGCATAATACATTCACAAGTTATAACTACCAACCTTCGTGACTTGTTTGATTTGTTTTAGCGACGAAGGTGATCCGTCTGCTGATATTGATCTCAAGCTTCGCATCGACGAATCCATTGATTGCTTGAATTTGTTAAGCTTGAAAGAACGTTGATTAAGAAATAACTTATGGAAGCTCTAATGTGACAAATCGGCACATATTCCTGGCGCATCAGTGAAATCGCTTCCACCAACTAACTAGAACATGTAAACGACCAACTAGAACTGCATTGAATGTTATTCATAATAAAATTCAATTCATTTCTTCACATATGGAAAATTAAAAGTATCCTAAATAAGAGCTTGTTCGCTCTCGGTCATGAAACACGGACCTCACTGCACGCGTTTCGTACGTCATGACCTCGAGCCATATATTATCCCGTTCGGCATTCACACTCGGACAATATGTACATATTCTCAAACTCTTTTTTATAGATGAGGGCATTTAAAAATAGTCAGGGTCAGCAATGAAACAGAACCCTACAGACCTTCTAACTGAAATTATTAAAATAATCATTTCTGATTTGAGTGTGGATGGATGGTACGTTTACATTGAATTTAGCTTTGCTTTTTCAAAAAAAGAAATTAGCACAAAGCATCATAAGTACCTTTTGATGGGGGCTTTCACAGGAAGTGTCCTCTTGACATTCAACGTTATGTTGTTGTATGTTCCCTTTGCAACCGATAAGCTGCAGTTCTGCAATCAAATAGAAATGTTAAATAATAAAATACATACCATTTGTATTCCTCGGGTTTAAGTTCCAAGTCATTCATGATTACAAATTTAAAGCTCCAGTTTGGTACAAAGGTAGCTCGTCTCAATGAATTTTCTCTTCTTACCTGTTCTATTCATGACAAGGTGCCTTGATGAGATAGGCTGTTCTTTCTTTAAAGTCGGAAATTTGGCCCCGACGCAAATGAAATCAGCCAATCTATCTTCTTTGTGGAGTACTTCCATGTAGTACAGCTTGCCTTTCTCAAGGTGTATCTTTCCTGATAATTGATTGACGGATCTACAAGAAAACCATAACTCTAAGATGGAAAAATCAAGAAAGCTACAGGAATTAATCTAAGTGCATAATTATCAAAGATGAAAATTTTGTAGGAGTCATGACAGCACAGCTCGAGGACTGTAGATAAAGTTCCTTGGAAAGCACGCCTTAACACCCCGACAGAAATGGACACTTTCCCGCTACGTTTAAATTATTGTTTTGCCGACCCTGCACAGTCATCACACGGCACAATGCTTTTGGAGCTACTCGTAATGCATTGGCAAATGATTGCGTAAATGGGCCACTGTGAGATCGCACTCTATCCAGTCGATGCGGAAAAAGTTGGTCTGTTTGACTGTCAGCGGTCGGTTAATAAAATACTGAGGTAACTCACGATCAGTCAGTCATTTTTGCACAACATATACGTACCCATCCCAGCTATATGCTTTGCTTGACACACGCTGATCAATGATAAGCCGCTTTCCAGCTGGTAATTCATTGATGCTCATCCACAGTTGACAGGAATTATCACATGAAGTTTGAAAGGTGAAATGGCCTGTCTCTGGGGCTCTGAAGAAAGATCTCAACCTCTGACCGTAACTATCATCCTGGTAAGATTTGTAAAGACAGAATGTGTCGAGGAATTCTGTCTTGGAAGCAGCACACGGGTAGAAATTGCTTCCTTTTAAATCAGCCACGGATGAACCTGGGACATTTCTCCAGAGTTCGCGATAAACTTCAAGAGAAAAAGATACAGTGTGAGTTAATGCATTTTGGTTTTAGGAAATGGTGATGGGTATTGGCGAAAAATCGGTAGCTGGGGATACTCTGAACTTATTTTAAGGTCGCTTCCTTGGTGGGCGCCTAGAGGACTGCAATACCCTGTAATAATGATCATTGTTTAGTCAATCGAGCAAGAGAGTGTGTTCTTGATCAAGTCCTCATAGTTCTCATTTGTTCCTAGAGGTGCTAAACTTAACTTGATTTGATATGTATATATAATATGTAGTGTTTTGAATTTTTATTGTAATATTACCGTAATTCTTATCGCCAAAGGTAATAAATAAAGGTTATTATTATTATTAAATGTCTGTTAACGTAATACCTTTTTTGACTGGACAATCCATTTCCCACGAATGAACAAAATGCCTGTTTTGTGGATCGAACATAAGTCCGGTGGACAGCCCTGTGCGATGTCGTGTTTTACCGTGGGAACAGTCATAATAAGCCCTGCAGTCTTCGGGGTCTGCATGCAAACCAGATGATTTACCAATACAAAAATCTGGAAGAATAGAAATATATAGTTTATTTCCAACACCATCTATGAAATACGAAATAATAATTCAAACTCTGGTGTAGTTCAGAACAGCGAAACGGGCTAAAAAGATAGCTGATGGAGAAAAGAAAATTTGTCTCCAATGGACGGCGATTTTGTAACGCTGAATATTTATTTATTTTTACCAAAACCATCATACACAAATACTTGAAATTAAGCATATGTTAAAATATTTCCGATTTTGGTGTTTTTTTATTATTATTTTCTATTTATCCATGTATTTGTATTCAACTTTCCAGCGTGAGAAGGGGTCACTAAAGGGAACTTCAAGCTCAATTTTCACCGAACGGTATAAACGAATTGAGACAAAAAAGAAAAGAAAGTAAAAAAAAAAAGTGAATATTCATGATAATCAGAGGCATCTTTTGATGACTGAACAAAAGTGTGGACCGCATAACATTCATCAAAGCAAAATATTTTACCATACTGATGCATTATTATATTGTTATTTCTTAGCCTGTTCCATGCTTTAAGTTAGAAATCACTCCCCTCGTGAAACTCAGGAAAGTCGTAAAAAATATTGCCTGCACTGATGTAAAATAGCTTCGAAAAAGTGAAATTACACTGTTCTGCCAGATTAATAGTCATTTGAGTATGCGACATGATTACTGTTTACCAAACAGCTTTTCATAATTCCTAACTTTGTTCAAACAAGAAAGGGAATATTTCATTAGAACGATTTTGTTTCTCCTCTTTAACGCGTTTGCCTTTTAGCAAAGGCAAAAAGCGATTTAGTTGTAACTTTCTTTCTAAGACTGCAGAAAACGTCTTCACAATGAACAGATTTCACCTCCTTTTTGCTTTTAGCACCTTGCAATCAATTTCTTTTTTGAGCTGAATATTCTCTTCTTTCTCATTTGTAATTACTCTCAGAGGCATTTGCGCAAACATCAACTGCGTAGTTTGCATTGCAAAACAAGGCATTGCCAAAACTACAGTTTAAACCCTCGTTTTTCTCAACATGTATTTCAGCTCCAAAAGCATAGCTTAGAATGGCTAAAATTTGAGTGTCCATGTGGAACAATTAAATAGGTAAAATTATCGTTCATTTGGGGAGGCAAAAAGTGCCGCAAATTTATGAATTAGTGAACAAAGATGGGCAGCTGTATGTATCTGACAAGATTTTTGAAATCCAATGAGCAATTGAAAAGCTCAAGGTTACCACTCCTTCAAGTGGGTAAATGTCCTTCAGGAAGAGAACAAGCTTGAAAACAAACGAAACAAAAAATTTATTTTTTGTAACCATTAACATTGTCTTTTGAAGCTGAAACGACAAAATAGGAGTTTGATTGTTACTTCAATTTCAAAGCGCCTAAGTGTATGAAAGGATCTTATTTCATGACCCAAAATCTCATTTTGTTTCGCAACCCATTTCGCCCCTTTTGAATCCTTTGTTTGGCTGCTATCTTTCTGTTACCTATATTCTTCGAAAATCCATTTTGCTACACATACCTTACTATGCGCCATAATCTATGACTCTTTTCATATTCGTGCAATGCTTTACATTTTTGGCCTGCGAAAACATGCTATCATAGATCGTTACACTTTGTGTGATCAGATAGACTAAAGATACACGTTTGACTGGGTAACGTAACTTTCTGGTATGTCACGATATATCACGGCACAGGAAGAATTTCGTTTTGTTATGACCGACTGAAATGAATATATTCGTTCCTACAAAAGGAACGGATAATTAGACTCGTGCTAGCTGCCAGTATTACTCTTGCATCTAAGTTTGGTTAGGTTTGTTTGATTTTCAGCTGACAGCATTTACGTCAAACATGCATGTACAGTGAATTAAATGCTTAACTTTGAAATTATGTCTTGAGAGGTTAAATTTTAATACAGATCTTTGTCTTCACTTCTCTCTTACCTCGCCAGCAATGCTTTAATAAACAGTGACTTAATCTGGCTTTGGTAGCAAAAATGAATTACCGAGGAACTGCAGTTGGAACAAAAGCATTGAAGCTGACACGAAAAGGTCCTATATCTTTGTGGAGAGTATACTTGCCTTTGTCGTAGTAGTCAACAACAGTAGACGAATGCACGTACTGTTAAAAACAAAAAGGAATGACAAAGCGGATCAAATTAGATACAAATACAAAACATAACTCGCTTTTGCGTCTCTAACGTGACATGACAACAGTATGTAGAGTGGTTAAACGCAAATTTCATGTCCTCCAGTTTTCAGCGAACATCTTATTCTTGAACTTACCTGGATAAAAAAAGCACAAATGGCGAGTAGTCTCATATCAACCTTGTTACATCCTCTGATCGCATGAAGAACCACGACTCTTAGCTTTACTTCTTGAGTTGACGATGAGCCAGAGATGTATTTAGAGAACGTGTCTAGTTTTCAGTAGACAGCGATTTTGACCTGCCTGTTATCAGTAGTGAATGTTTACTCAAAGGTCTCAAGGTTATTCCAAGTGATTGGCCCGTTGTTCTCTCTTTTGTTATTGTAATTTAGGGTCGTACATACGACAAATTATATTTGTTTTTGCGCGACGTTAAAAGAGTTAGAATCAAATATTTTTCTCCAGATAATGAAGAAATCGGAATTACATCTCCATCCACATAATACCTTTCTTTACATAGGTTTTGTTTCTCAATGGTCAACAGGTGAGGTAAATCATTAACTTTGCATTAAGCTGAAGGTGAAATGAATAACATATTACTCATTAACTCAAAAACGAAGAAGGTGTTGACGCCGAAATAAATTAAAACTAAAATTGGGAAATCAGTTGTAAATTACTCTTTTAAGAAGACTTGAAGCCATTCAGGTAGTTTGAAAATCTGTTGATCATACTGGGTGATGAAGCACCTTAATTGGTCCTTTGCTCTTTCCTTCATCATTCCCAGTTCCCGAACGGTCAGGTCTTTCAACCAAATTCGACTACAGTATAAATGCAAGTTTTGGTTTACCGTGATTTCCGTCCTTAAAGGTGCATTCGCATCTTTTTTAACGAGATGAATTACACCTCGAGTCAGGATTTTTTTACCTTACCGCTCTGTATCCCTCTACGCGTGTGCGAGGTGAAAGGAAATCGAAACACGGGAGGGCAGCAAAAATACGGCCCAGCCTGACTCACCGATGATCATAGTCCCAAATTGAACATGCAGCCTTTTCTTCTTTTACTTTCACGCACTGAGCTCCTTATATTTAATATCTTATGCAAAACTAATGAGGAAGTTCGATGTTTCTTTAAAATGCCCAGCGATTTCAAAAATTACGACGGTTCTCTAGTAGACGTATTCAAATCTTCTCACGATAATTGGGTCTTCAAATGTAGATATGTTCTTTGCAATAAAAATTAGATGCACACCGGACTACGGGAATGGGAACAAAGGAACAGGCGGTAAACGAAAACGTGATAAGAGAAAAAGAAATGGGAAATGGTGAGAGGGAAACGATAAAGTTAAGGTCTCCAGTAAGAGTATCCCTTGAGCTGTTTCACATCTTTCTCTACTGTATTTTTGTTTTCTCTCGAAATTTTATTTTGCGCTGTATCTTCTATATTGGTCTCAGAAATTGTTTAAAAAGCGAATAAGATGTCTCTCGAAGAAGCCGATGATGCACACGAAGGCATCGACACATTTGACGAATTCAGCGGACACTTCCGGACGGTTCCGTCCGACTACGGACATTTGCATCCGTTATCAGACGGTTTTGTTCGATTTCGACCACTGACGTTCGTTTTCAGACGGTTCAGTCCGACCTTGGACGTTTACGTTTGTTTTCCTGCCTTTCCATCCAATTTCGAAAACTCTTACGTCCGTTTCCGGTCGGTTCCTTCCGATTTAAGACACGTTGTGATAGTTATCTGACGGAGCCTAAGTTTCGTATTGGGACGGTTTGGTCCAATTTTCGACTTGCGAGGGTCTACAAGGATAGTAGACTGGGAACAAACGATGGGAATCCAACATGGCGGCATGTTTGGAAAAATAATATTTACAAAACCTGAGCAAACTGAAAACAGTCCTTAAGCTTCCCATAACGTGTCATGAGTTGAAACGTACGTATTGCATCATTTTGGTGATATCTGTGTGGAGAGAATGGATTGCCAGACAAGGATTGGAAAAAGTTCATGAGGACTCACATCTCGAATTTGTCACAAACACGTGTAAAAGAGCTAATTCAAGATAAGGTGAATCTCAGAACTTCTTTGTTTTTACATTTTATTTAAGTGTAATTTATCATCTCTTAGTTCATTCTACTGAACAGAGCGATTTTATTTGAATGTCGTTCAGTGCCTCAATAAGTTTTAAAGCTTAACCGTAGCCTTTCACTTCCAAGATCTCTTAGTAATTCTCTCTACTATCTTCCTTACAATTCTCATGATGTTAATTCAGAGAATTTGGATCAACTGACAATCACCTAATTGATATTTTGCTAAATGCTTGTCTCTTATTAGCTTGATATTGTATTGATATTGTGAGGGAAAAATTCTCTATTGGTCACACTTGAGAGTGAAAGGGTTAAGCAGAATTAAATTCAAATGTTTTGTAGCAAGCTTTACTCCAGCACATGTTAAAAAAGGGAAAATTTGCAGTATTTGAAGCTTCCATGTTCTTTATTATGATTGCGTAAAAGATGATGTCTACAAATTTTGATGTCATTGTTGTTTTGATGTTTTTCTTTTTTAGTTTAAAAATCCTCACAATCTTTCACTAGCTATATTCATGGAATCATACAGCACATGGTTTTCATAGACTCAATACAAGTATTACTAATTTATTCAAAATAACATTGATTTCAAAATATAGGATGAATTAAAAAGCTTGGATAAGTTTCCACTCCTAAAGCCAAACAAGCACTCTTCTTTTTTAAGTGCCCTCCCACTTTGTTGAAGGTGATTCCCCAGAAAAAAAAGGGGTTATTGAACAATTTTTTTAACTTTCCTGTTTCCTATCAGTGTCTGTTTCAAAAACAACAATTTAAAAGATAGGTCACTGTGCATGTATAAAAGATATGATAGGCCAAACTTCATTTATACCGGACTGTTCTAGCACTAATCAGGTGCATCATTTCATCAGTTCACAGTACATTATGAGGTAGTTGGAAACAAGGGTGTTTAAAGTAACATTTTAAAACTTGATAGGTTGAAAGTCTCAAGGATATGGAACAATTTGATATATAATTTGTGCAAAAATCATGCAGCTTTATGTGACTGCAACTCAGAATTTTCATTGAGTCCGAGCTTTGTACCTGCTTTAAGCCGTATCTTTTATTTCCTTTGATAAATTTTGTAATTTGTCCAATTTAAAGGGGATAATTTGTACACCAAAATTACACTATAAAAATATAGGTCATGGTGCTTGTTCTCAAGTTAAAGACCATCATACCTCTTTAACTGGTCCATTTATTGGAAAACAATATGGTGTTCTCAGAATGTGTGCTTGCTTATTTGCCTGATTACTTGATTTTTATGTGCAGTACAGGATGCGCAGTGCAAAACTGAGGAATCACCCTAAGTAACCACCCTCCCTCCAATAAGTGCTCCTCCCTAATATAACTGAAATTTTAAAGTGCCTGGGCACGTATTTGAGGGAATACAATGTATGTTATTATCAATTACAAAATAGAAGAAAGAAAAGGAAGCAGAATGGGGACAGACAGAAGAACTGCAACACACCTCGGAACATACTTAGAATTCTTACACTCTTGCTCTTACTGAGACATTGAAATCATTGAATGTTTGAGTGCATGCAAATTACAAAGTCATAGTTCAATTTATGTAAATTTTCACAAATTCACACATGCACATGTCACATATAGTTATTTTGTGACTGCTTGTAACACTCAACCACCTGAAAAATTTTGCATTTATGTGAGTGTGTCAGTGCTCTGCATGCCTTAAAGAGTGAGATTTCATTTAGTTAAACTGTAATACTTAATGCTTTTTCATCAATATCAGCAGCTGAGAATTTAATAAAGCATGATGTAAATATGTGATATACCCCACCAAAGGTTAGGGAAAGTGACAAGCTAATTATAGAGAAATGTAGAGCACTAGTGTACTGATATAAAGAAAAATAAATCCAATTTTGTCTGATTTCCAAAATAATCAAGCTATGCTTCGATGCAATAGTTTCTTACAACAGGGAAAACTGCATGCAAATGATGCCAAAAGGTTTTAAAGGATAAAAATAGTAACACTGGAAACCATAAAGATAAAAAATCAATAAATGCATGACTGTACCAATCCATAAGCAAGTCAGAGACTTGAGCTTCCAGGTTGCTCCAAAATATTGCAAAACTACTGCAAAAGAACATCTGCAGGTCTCATTGTTAGTAAATATTATTACCTGAAGCTCTTTCCTACATAAAATTACTTAGTACTTAAAGATAAATCCTTGATGTACCTTTGTACAGAAGGATTGGTAGGTACTTGTTAGTACTGAGAGTGTGTTCAATACATTTTGTTTCATTCAGCTCAGAGATGATGAGGTCTTTTGGATGATATTCTTCAAGTGTCTTCAAAAGAATTGAAAAATTGTGACTGTAAACATTATGCACTCACCAGACTACTTTTTTTGCCATCTTTTTCTTAGTTTGATTTGGAGCTATTAAAAAAGGGCAACATTGATTTTTTTATTGATGCATGTCATTGATAAATGGAATGTTTCAGGGCTCGAATTTCAAATTTAAATTTGGCCATTTATCACCAGCTGATATGAACTGGGTTATGTGTTTTGCACTTGAGATCATTTATTACATATGAATGTGTGATAGGTCATGATTAAGATTAAGAAAAAATATTTCTAACCTCATCAACAGTCAAAAATCTCTAAATAAATTATGTATTACTCAACCTGAGATTGATCACACACCGTCTCAGGGAGTAATTAAGCACACTACCATCTCAAGGAGTAATTTAATGTGCTCCTGTCTATATTTTATTTTTGGGACATTGATAGCTGATTGATAGTGATTATTTTGCTTGATCACAAACTAAAACCCCTATCATGTAAAACCAGCAAATGACGTTTATTAGTTTGAGCTTTGTATCCTTTATTTTCTCTTTAGTCAATGACACTACTTGTTATGCGGAGACATATGTTTACTCAAATAATCACTCACAGCAAGTAGTTATACGAGAAATTGTGGACTGTTTCCTTTAAAGACCTGTATTTCTCATTGTACTTTGATGCCAAGCCCCAACCCATGTGTTAGATCAGATCTGAGCTGTTAGAAGGTTGGATGGGGCAATATCCTAGATGATCATCACCCAGAAAATTAGGACTCAGAGAAAAACATCTCTGTCTACCAGATAGTGATTCATCTGCTGGATAGCATTGTCCAACCTTCAAACAAAGGGGCCAGTGTGATATAATTATTATGAAATCCTGGGCAA